GGCGAGGCCTATGTTCAGCAGTGGACTTGTGAAGGGCTTTAATGATGACGAATGATAATGGCATTATATTAATATGATTCATAAATAGAATGGACATTACGGGTAGTGTCCATCTATCCATAGAGTCCATTCTATTTATTTACGTATAGGTAGGGTATAGAATTTTTATCGATAAATTTTGTCACACTGTCTTATCCCTATTATTAGTTCCGTGGACGTGCACTTCTGCTGTCAGCGCCAAAATGGCGCAAATCAAATTGCCTCATCATGTCACGGTGTATAGACAGTCCAGCGTATTGTCCGTTCATCTTAACTTGACGCGTGAGTGATTGGTAGCACTGTTTCCTTAGCCGTCATTTTTCTTTGAACTTGATCGGTTGCTATCTGTGTGCTCTTTTGCTTTTTAATTATCTTAGTTTTAAAAATGCTGAAAGTGGTTAAATTTGCTAAACGACAAACTATTCTTCAAATTTATGCATTTTTGTAAAAATAAAAGGCTGAAAACAAGCTGATTTAGCCATTGCAACATGTTCGTGCCCGAATTGCCGCCATGACCGGTATATTTTTTGGGTGACCAGTTACAAATATTTAGACTAACAACAGTTTGTAAAATGCTAAATGATATTAAAATAATTGTATGTGAAGAAATATATATATATATATATATATATATATATATATATATATATATATATATATATATATATATATATATATATATATATATATATATATATATATATATATACGCGATAACTGTACGAAAAGAAATTCCTACGTTGAACAAATTACTTGTCGAATTGCGATATGAAATAAATTTTAAAGGTGTGTGTACTACACTATGGAAAATGTTAAAACGACTAGGATATAAATACAAAAAGTGTAAATCAAAACGAAAAAATTTAGTGAAACGAACAGATATATCTGCCTGGCGATTTAATTACTTGAATAAAATTGAAAGAATATCGAGAAGAGAGGCGGACTATAGTCTACCTAGATGAAACATTTATGCATTATTCTTAATGCTATTCAAGTCACAAACTAAATCATCAGACTACCATAACGACTGTTTTACCAAACCTGCCACGTAATTTTGTGATTGTGATGGACAATGCACCATATCACACTGTTCAAACATATAAAAGCCCTAATATGGCAAGCCTCAAAGTAGATATGGTAGAGTGGCTTCAAAACAAGGGACTGTTGTTTTCACCGAATTTGCCAAAAATGTTTTATATGAATTAATAAAAAAAAATAAAACCCATGTATAAAACTGAAAAATTTATTAAATCACACGGTCATAAAGTTTTGCAACTGTCCCCATATCATGCGCATTTAAATCCAATTGAGGTAATGATGATCAAAAGTAATCACTTATAAAAGAATTGTTTGGCTCAATAAGCAATCAGCTTTAGAACAAAGAATGCTCACATGTTACAAAAATTGAAGATGAGTACATAGTGAAAGATAAAATAATAGTTGAAGGAAGTGATCGCTTTTTATTGTGGATTAGCAGTGACACTGACGAAAGTGATAGTGACAATGAGCATCTAAGTAACATTGAAGAAAATATGAGCACTTTACACCTTATTGATCATAATTATATAAAGTGATTCTTTTAATCCTGTCTTAATTAATTTAACCTGAATGTCCCCATTGATATATGAATTGTTTCAGAGAGTACACTAAGACACTTAAAAAGTCACATAAGTATAGTCATCAGCACCTCCGTAGTAACAGTTGAATTTCGAAATTAATGCCCTTGCTCATACGAAATAAAGACGTTTTTAAGGCTTAACTGTTAGCCCTAATTGCGTTCGACTGTACATGCCAAGTTTGAACCCGCAACCTCGTGCTTGAGATGCATGCATACATGCTCTTATATCCCGTTCCATAATACCTGTCCCTACATTTCGGGAACGCCATTCGCATTGAAACATGCAACACTGTAAATTACAGGGCTACCAATCGGATCACGCGTCAAGTTACGATGAACGGACAATACTTGTATAAAGATCAGTGATCAGAGGGTTGCAATTAAGGGGAAACCAATATTGCAAACAAATATGAAAAGTGGATATATTAGTTTATAAATATGTATACAAAGTCTTAAAAAAATATATGCTGATATCATAGTGACGAGCTAACTTAATTTTTTGTCTGTGTACAAGGTTAGCCAAGATCACCTGGAGTGCTTCTTCAGCCCGATACTTAGACCATTCAACCCAATGGACGAGTAATGCGCCTAGTGCTACCGACAAAAAGTCTGTCATTTTGGTGCGGGGTAGAAAACATTATATAGATAGTACTGCACATCTAGTCAATAAAATTTTGTGTCATTATGGCACACACAAATCTACATCTCCAACACTATAACATTTTACACACACACACACACACACATTTGGTTTGCATACATCAACATAGAAAAAGTTATGAGTGTAAAACGGACAAATTAATTGCGATGCTACCATATCGATAGTTTCCCTAAGAAAAAGATAAAACTAACAATCATTACTAAAATGCATTCGAACAAAGGTTCCGTAGTAACAGAACAAGAAACGCTTATAGTTTCGCCAAGTTCAACAGTCTGCCGGTTTGTCCGCGGCTTAGTACAGAGACTATTGGTATTTTAAAGAGCTGTAATTTGGCATAGTTAAACATGAATACTAGAAATGAAAAAGCTCTAAGTACCAAAAACCAAAAGTGGAGGAACTTACATTTTAAATAACATGCCAACATCACAAAAAAAAGTAGTTTTAAAATCGACATTTATATTATTACAATAAAATGCTTTTGTGAAATAAAAATAAAGTATCTCAACGTATTAATTAGTACAATAAATATAAAGAAATAAAACTATAAATAAAATATTTTAGACTGATCTTAATGATTGTACAACATCGTTTATTTCAAAACGGTATTCAAAGAAAAAAGATACAAGTTTACTAGAAGAACTAGGTTTGCTGAAAGAGACATCTTTGATAAATAAATAAAACAAACAGGTCCTAGAAAAGATAGGAATTGAAGAAAGCGTACTTTTAAAGAGACAACCTCTCTAAAGACTTGACATCCTGGAAAGGAAAATAATACCTACTACAGACTTATAAAATCCCATGGGTTGCCTCAAAAAGTAATCCCAAACTTTCAAGTACATGACATGAATCTCTGTTAGTAATGTTGGTAAAGCATTACAGACTAATTTGAGGCATTTACTAGACAAACATTGAAATTAGGATGAATCAAAGTGCATCGAACAGATAGTACATGTGCGGGTAGGTACCCAACCTCTTTTTCGATTGCACAATGGTGCCCACCTCATTTTTAATAGAGGGTCTTTTGGAAATCTGTAAAAGTAAAACGATTATGAGAATACGTTAGTATAAAGTATAAATGCGAAATTGTTTCTGTGGTATAGTTTTTTGGAATAAAGCTTATTCTAATGCTTGATCCAATGTATAAATAAGCCTAATTGCATTAAAACAGATTCAAGATGTTTGTTACTCATTCACGCCACAACGACCGAACAGATTTTTGGACACTCTAAATTCACACAAGCTACATTTGTCCCGAAAAATTAAAAAGTTATCAGGAACTTTTTAATATTTCTTAATCCACGTGGACGAAGTCGCGAGGCTCATTTAGATAACATGTAAAATAAGTAAATATATTTTAAATATAATAATTGAGGGAATCTTCTATTATTATATTTAAAATATATTTACTACCATTAAATAATAATAATCTTCTAGTATAGACATATCTATAGTTTAATTTTTCTTAAATTTATTTAATATAATTAAAAAATTGTTCATTCACTCTTTTATTATAATAAGTAGTCTTCTATAGTTGAGTGTTTGATTATACATTTTAATGCTTCTTCAATGAATAATAATGAAAAATTATCGATATCGATGTGCACATCATAGTCACATCACACATCAATATGGCACCATTTTCAATAGAACACTTAACCCTACAATGGTCGGGTAGGTTACTATAGTAAACCACTGTAAAATAATCTCCAATGTGGATACATCTAAACTAACCTGATTTGTGATCTAACTTTGAAATAAATGTGATATTTTCATATATTAATACGTAAAAGCTTTTTGAAATATTATAATTTGAATAAAAAATGACGCATAAATGGTTTTTGTTAATTAAATATGACTAACCGCTGACTAAATGTTACCGTTATTTTGTGTTTCATTGTTATAATAAAATAAAAAATACATTTTAGTTGATATTTTACTTTCTTCTTATTTTAAATTGGACTACATACGTATCCACGCGACCATTTACACTATTTTTTAAGGCGCGACTACTGCAGGGTTAGTAGTCTCGTTACAAATAAGTAACTTTTATCGTTTATATGTTGCTAATATAAACTAGTCTCGTAAGGAGTGCCGTTGGGCTTGCGTGTTCAATTTTAAACCTAAATTGTAATATATATATATATATATATATATATATATATATATATATATATATATATATATATATAACTCATCTCGTAAGGAGTCCGCTTCTCACATTTCGAATCTGAATATCTTTTCATGAAATATTATGTATTCGATTATCTTATCGGTATAGTTCTCGATTATTGTTTATGATAATGTTTTAAATGTTTATAATAGAAAAAAAGAATATATCACAAAAAATACTTACATATAGATATCAACTTCTTCTTTTTGTAAATTTGACGAACTAGACTTCTTTTTGCACACTTTAAGCGCACAGATTTAAATTTTTCGAAGAGCTTTTACAACGATGGAAACTATTCTTGTAATCGTTTCCGTCGTTGAAAAAAAATCGCAATACCTGCGCAGATGTGAATAATCATGTGGGACAAGTCCATTGGCTTGAATGGTCTAGGTATATTCTATTAAACAGACAATTCTTCGCTTTATAACCGATTTATTTTCAATATTGCCGTACTTTGCACCACACTACCGTACTTTACCATAGAGTCTTTCATCGGTGACAGATTCTTTTTCTTGATCCCGGTTCTAATGTGAGTTGGTGTTGTTTTCGTTGTAAATATATCCAAAGAAATATACCTGGAATTAGAAATATTTTAATAACTCGTGTATGATATAAAATCTTATTTTCGCTAATATGTAATTGCATGGCATATTTCTTGATAAATTTGGGATTTGGAGTTAAAACTTTTGAATTAAAAGTTTGACATTCATCTGTGTGATAGTGATATTTCAGTGAAATTAGAAACATTCCTATTCAGTATTTATTTATTTTTAAATTAATTATTTTTTAATTTTGTGGCGACACTTTCTTTCTTTATTTGCAATATAATAAAAATACTCGAACAACCTAACTAAGAAGTCAGGTGCTAATATGTTGATTTTGAGGTTGTTTGTCGTGTATGCAGATTCTACATGGCTCCACCGAAGCCTAAGGAGGTGGCCAAGGCCCCTGCGGCTCCTGCAGGCGGAGTCAAAAAAGCTAAAGCTGGAAGACCGAGGAATTATGATTTAGGCAATGGAGTAGTACGTTTCTCCAAAACTAAAATGTTTCATAAAAAGGTGTGTATTCATGTGTTATTTTTTATAGGACTAAGTTTTCTTAGTACTAGGATCTTTTAAAATGTTGAGAATTTTTTGTGACCAAGAAATAATTAATATTCCTAAACTATAATTATATGTAACATGATTTTACATTTGTAAAATTTATTGTAGACTGACCCTTTTATTTAACTTAACAGGCCAAGTACAAGTTCATTGGTAAGAAGAATCCCAAGGCAGAAAAGCCCAAAAAGCCCACAGTTGTGGTAAAGCAAATTGGTGGTGAGAAGAACGGAGGTACCCGTACAGTACTTTTGCGCCGTAGGAAGTCTTTCTATCCCACTCAAGATAAGTGAGTATTTACTATTTAGGAATATTTTTTATAGATATTATAATCTATTTACATTTCCCATGATTATGAAAGCCCAAATATTATAGACAAGAATGTACCTGTATTTGTATTATATATGTATGAATGGACAACATAAAATATGATTATATTTATTTCTGACCATACCATTATAATTATTTTAATAAATCAAATAGTTATAATAATTATGTAATACGTTTTATAAGTGAAATAACCTATAGGTTAAATAAGGAAATACAAATAACTTAAAAAGAACAATTTAATTAACATCTACAATAAATTCTATTACTAACAGAAATATTAATTAAAAGATGATAATGAGTATGACAAATTCAACAAAACAAAGTGAGCTTGGCCTACCTACACATTCAAATTTCAACCATTCAAACTGAATTAAGAACTTGTGTATTGCTTCTCATCATACAGAGTGACACAGTGATGTGAATTATGTTATTGAGATAGCACATAATAGGCTATCCATTCAGCTTGACATTATTTGACATGTTTAATTCTACATGCAATAATTTCAAGAAGCAATCTTCTTGAAAGTATTGTTAGGTAGTATTATGGGTGTGTGAAATAAAGTCAAATAGTGTTTTTTTTTTTAGTGTATCGTGAGTGCAGTTTTCATACATAAATTTAACAAGGACAAACATTCAGATACCTGAAATCGATGTGACCCACACGAACTTTTTTTTATAGGACAGGGTAACAAACAAGCACACAGTCCACCTGGTGGTAAGTGGTTGCTGTGGTCCATAGGCATCTACATCTATCCTCGATCACAAATCAAAATGCAGATGCGTTGTCACCTGTGAGGACTAAGATGGAATGCCTCGTTTCCAGTAAAAAGGGTCTCCGGTTCTCTAGACTCACCATAGAAAACACAGCAGCATTAAGCCACTATTTCTCGCTGGTATTCTGAGAGCGTGGTACCTCCCCGGTCGAACCGACCCATTCATGCTACAACTATACTACTAATATAACTGCAGCATGGCTCTACCACATATAAAACTTGTCCTAGATGTCATTCCTAAGCTTTTTAAATATAATGAAGATTGCATAAATATGTGTATGAAAATATGTAATAAACTATGTAAAGAATTTAAATTATTAAGCGAAAGATTGTATATGAAACTTTTGTATAATTGGTTAAAAACTGAATGCTTTTATGACTTACGTGAATCTTTATTAATATTATGTAATTATTATTGTTATATGAACAGTTTAAAATTATAATTTGCATGTTAAGCCCTATAATTAGCAAAACACTACTGCATTATATAAATTGTAACATCTTATACCATGATTCTAAAAATTTACATTTATTTAAGCTAGGGGGAGTGTTAGAGGTTAAGGCAGAGGGAAGCAAATCGGATAGGCAGCAGCATCTTCCTAATAACATCTAAAAACTGCGGCTTCCCACCCGCTTGCAAAGCATGAGGCAATCTATAGGGCAGGCTTATGTTTGGCATTAGACTTTTATAAGCTGTAACAGCAACATGAGTTGTTTGATTTATGAAATTCAAGCAGTCAGCAATCAACCCCTGATATCTGTCCAATTAAGGTTTTTTTGTCCATGAAATGGTTGAATTTGACCCCTATCTTGACTGAATTCCAATTTATTACCTACACCTCAATTACCTAATATAGGCAAATATCAAAGTGGCTGTGATAAATTTGTACAAGTTTTTCTCACATAATGTGTTATTTTTTACAGGATCATCACCCGTTCTCACCACAAGACTTTCAGCAAGCATGTGCGTAAAACTAGGCCCAACTTGACAGTTGGTACCGTGTGCATTCTGCTTGCAGGCAGGCATGCAGGCAAGCGTGTTGTGCTTGTTGGAGTGCTGCCAAGTGGTCTGCTGCTTGTAACAGGACCTTTTGCTGTAAGTTGATATAATAACTAGAGATGTCGCAAATAGTTGTTATAGTGAATAGTCGAATACTGATTAATTGTCGTTCCCTATGGCGAATAGTCAAATGACTCGCCGTTATTATTCGACATATAAAAAATAATTTATTTGTGATCAAATAATAATATCATGCTTGTAAGTAGGTAGTAATAGGTAGTAGGTAGTAGTAGCAGCTAAGTAAGTAGTCTTGAACTTACCAATCATTTTTTTGGTACTGTAATATAAAAAAATTCTAAGGCCAGGAAAATAAAACAAAATTTAAAGAATACAGTTTTGGAAAAGCAATCATGAATAATCCTGGGAAAAAAATCTCTCTTGTTTGATGTTATTTTGAGGAGGAAAACCGTGCAAAATGTATTTTGCCTAAAGTAAATTTTTTTTAAAGGAAAGCGCAACTGACGATCCAAAGTGTGCAGAAAACAAGTTTATTTGCACCACATTCTTTTGGACTTTAAATATTGATAAAAAAACTGTACAAAATACCTAGATTATCGCTTTAATTATACCGACTCTTTCACACCCATGTCGGGACCAAAACGGATAAAAATAAAATAAATAAAATGCGATAAAATCCGTAAAAGTAGTTCTAATCAATGTGTAGTGTTCGAGTAAATATAAGAAATCATTAAAACTTTGCTAAATTAACTTCAACATGACATGACTGATTATTAAAAAAAAAATTATATTAAAGATTTTTTTATGGAAGAGGGGGCAAAAGTACATGAGGCTCACCTGATGTTATTAAGTGACTACAGCCACCCATGATCAACTGCAACACCAGGGGAATTGCAGGTGCGTTGCTGGCCCTTTCAAAAGGAGTAAGCTCTTTTCTGGAAGATCCCGAGGTCGTAAAATCGCCGATGGCAAACTATTCCACAGAGAGGTCGTACGTGGAACAAAACTCCTTGTGAAACATACAGTGGTGGACCACCAAGCATCCAGATGGTTTGGATGGTATCGGGATGTTTGCCGCGTATTGCATTTCATTGCACGAAATTTGGCGTCTGGGATTAATCCGAACAATTCCTCAGCGCACTTGCCATGGTATATGTGAAATAAAATCCAAAGAGATGCAACATCTCTTCGCAGTGCCAGTAAATCGAGCCGATCGGAAAGCACTTAGACGTCGACGATTCGAACAGCTCTGCTCTAGATGCGATCAAATGGAAGGAGCTGGCATTGGGAAGCCCCGGTCCAGAGATGGGAACAGTATTCCATGTGCGGCCGAACCTGCGCCTTGTAAAGATGCAGGCGGTGAGCCAGCGTGAAATACTGTCCCACTGCTGAGCATGCCAAGTTTTTAGAGGCCAATTTGGTCTTCTCTTCTAAGTGACCACGAAACTGCACGTCACTCGATATGTCGACGCCGAGGATGCCGATACTGGCTGAGGCAACAAGGGGAGTGCCTTGAAACTTAGGAGATACGACAAAAGGGTTCTTTTTAGCAGTTAACGCGCAAACTTGTGTCTTCTGGGGGTTAAACTGGACTAGATTTAGTCGCCCCCAATTCGAGACTCTGTTCACCAAAGACTCGACTTCAGACACGAGTTTGTCCCGGTACTCGGAGACGTTTTCCCGAGAAATATTGGTATGGCCTGTGTACAGAGCATCACCAGTGGTGTCATCTGCATAGAAATGAATGTTACGGGCTTGCAACATATCATTGATATGCAGAAGAAACAGCGTTGGCGATAGCACGCAGCCTTGTGGAAACACCAGCATTAATAGGCTTGTAATCGGAGCTTGCACCGTCTACAATGACCTTGATGCTCCGATCTGCAAGAAAGCTGGTGATCCAGTTGCACAATTTCTCAGGAAGCCCATAGGAAGGGAGCTTCGGTTAATATTTCCAATATGGACCATCGATTTCAAAGCCCATATTTTTTTTGTAGATAGTACTCACTAAAAGAAAGCGTTTTGCAAAGTTTTAGGTTGCGGAAACTTACGGTACATGAGATATATTTTTTTAAACTTTTCATACAAATTGGCAAATAACACGCAATTACATAATAAATTTGACAAATGATTGATGTCAAACGTCAATTAGTGTAGGGTTCCGAATGTTTTGAAAGTATCGATACGTACTCGATACCAAGTATCGTATTAAAAGTATCAATACTACTTGGTATCGAGTACATTTCGTTAATTTTGGAGACTAACTTTCAAATATGGATCATCGATATATCAGGCGATGGATACCCCCTGTGCAATCCCCACCCTGCGGAACCCCATGGTTTTGGTGATATTCATGGTTAAAATTTATTATTATTCTCGTTACCATATGTCTGGTGAAATGGAGGGCGGATATGTGGGAGGGTTAAAATTAACTAGATTAAATAAAGAAAAGGGAGGTGCTTATGGGAGGAGAGGGGGGTGTGTGGTTAGTAGCAGGGAAGTGGTGTGGTGGGTTAGTAGCGGGGAAGTGAGATGGGGGGGGAGTTGAAGGGGAAGTCGTGTTCCGGCGCTCCGTGGCAGCTCCGGCGCTATGGGATGAGCGGCGCGGCGGGCGGGTACTGCTCTCTCTCCGCGCCTCCGGGCTCTTATATACACTCTAGGGGTAGGGCAGACAAGACCATGTGGATAGTGGGGTGCTCTAATTCGGTTTTGGGTACTTTTTGGATATTAAATAAGTAAGTAAACACTTTATTGTAGTAAGAATTAGATAATACAGCAAGTTGCAAACAATAAAATACAAGTATAAAAGCTGTACTAATTAAGAAATACAAACAAGTTGCAAACAATGAAATACAAGTACTAAGGTGGAACTTAAATAAACTTTATTCTACTTTATATACATATATAATTGCACTTATCAGCTCTTCCTATGCATTAATTTTTCGTCTCCAAAATTAACGAAATGTACTCTATACCAAGTAGTATTGATACTTTTGATACGATACTTGGTATCGAAAGTACGTATCGATACTTTCAAAATATTCGGAACCCTACACTAATTGACGTTTAACATCAATCATTTGTCAAATTTATTTTGTAATTACGTGTTATTTGCCAATTTGTATGAAAAGTTTAAAAAAATATATCTCATGGACTGTTAGTTTCCGCAACCTAAAACTTTGCAAAACGCTTTCTTTTATTGAGTACTATCTACAAAAAAAATATGGGCTTTGAAATCGATGGTCCATATTGGAAATATTAGCCGGGAGCTTCTCGATAGTAATTAATATTAAGTGCGTTTTGTTTTTTAAGAAAAAAATTATTTTTTAGTCTATAGTTTTTTGTTCATTAAAAATTTATTTTAGAAAACTATTCGCCGAATGTTGCATACCACTAGGTATTATTCGGTATTCGCCGAAAAACAAAACAAATGTCGAGTAATGCTCCTTACCTAATAATAGTGAGTATTTGTGGAATCTCTAATAATAACTAGATTCTCAGGACTAATATGATGCTCCTTTTTGAGAAAGTATTGCAACAGGGTAGATATTTGTTGTTACAATACAAATTAATAACTTCATATGACCTTGAAACAGGACTAACTGAAATGGTCATGTGTTTGTGTTTTTATAACACCTTAGGATATGGTAAGAATATAGACTGTTTATTTGTCAAATTGACATTGGGAAATGCAATCCTTACATCAAATAATGATATTGAAGTAAGCTACAACAAACGTCATATATTACCAGCTCAAATTGATTTTATTAAATTAAATAAATTCAAATTATATTGTAAGATTACTTTTAAAGAAATTACATGAAAGTGTAGTTTCATAATTTAAAGATAAATAAATGATAAATAATTACTAATATAAATCAAAACAAATCATATATTTTATCTAAATATCAATGATATTCTTATATTAGTCACATTGGATATGTAAATTATGTATGTCTGATTTTATAGACTTGTTAGCTGAAATACTACTAATAATATATTGTTCGAAATTAGTCCCATAAAAGACTCGAAATTTAGTACAGTTACTCATTCCGCAATATATGACGCTAACTAAGAACGGATTTTATGATAGTTCCATCAAAAAATAAATGAATAGGTTCCGCAATAAAATATCATTGTGGACCCAGTGAAGCAGCAAGCGGGTATCAGCCTAGTTGGTTACTAGATATCACCAAAATAGATTATATGCAAACCAACAGCAACTGGCTATCGGGATGTGACATGGGCAGCCTCTTCAGGGCAACATACCATTCTTCTACAAAAAGAATTACCATAACAGTCAGAATCATGACACTGATGAAGAGACTGATTGCTCCAAGCTAGCTGCTTATCCTTTATACTTTTTTGGACTAGAATTAGTCGCCCCTAATCTGAGACCTTTGTTCAACAGTTTCGACTTGAACACAAGTTTGTTCTGGTACTCGGTGAAGTTTTCCTAAGAAATATTATTACTGTTACTGCAAAAAGGATTTTCTATTATTATCTTCCCTTATTCATAACAACTTGTTATCATCTATTTATTTAAAACTTGATTGTATTAACCAAGAAGATTGCAAAGGGACTTACTTAATTGATAAATGCCAAGGCATTATAATTGGACTTAATGCCAGTCAATAATGTATAATGTCAGATAGCAGAATAAGGATTTCAAATGTAAATAACAAAATAAACTGCAATATTGCAAGTTTTAGAGAGAGAAAGGTCGAGTCTATATTATAAAAAGTTTCTTAGTCTAAAGATGACAGTCATGTAATTGTGACTTCAGCATACTGAACTACTCGCTGGGGAAGTGATAATAGAATACTATTAACTCCACAAACATATATTCTTTTAGTGCTGAGATGGATTTGTTTAGTAAACTTTAAACTTGAGGTACTCCCACAGAAAAGAGTTCATAATAGGGATGAGATTAAGAAACCTGGGTAGCCAGGGTATATCACCAACGCGGCTTATTAATTTGTTCGGGAAGAAATCGCGAAGGAGCATTATACTGTTTTTACTTTTAAAATATTGGTTAGTGAAATCCTAATTCTAATCCCTGTATTTAATTTTTAATGATTTATATTTAATTTCAGTTCAACTCATGTCCTCTTCGCCGCATTTCCCAACATTATGTTATCAGTACATCGACCAAGGTGGACCTTGGTGACTTCAAGCTGCCTAAGCACTTGAATGATGAATACTTTAAGAAGAACAAGAAAAGTACCAAGCGCAGCGTCAAACGCAAACAGGGCGAGGACATTTTTGCCAGCAAAAAAGAGGTACAAATTAATATTTTCGGCCTTGTATCATATTATGTTATCTAATATATAAAATTAATTCTAGTTTGTTCATTTTTTATGCACTGCCATACCATTCATCAGATTGCAGGAAAACTTTGTCAACATATTGCTTGCACTTCCGCAAAGGTTATAGGCGTAGTTGGACCCAGTGGGTGGTGCCATTGTAGAATCCATGTATCATCTGTGCAAAGCCGAGGCTGGTCGCTGGTAAATAATATGCAAAAGGAGAATTGCTTATTGCATCATGTATTATAAATAGTATTTTTTAATTATGGCAGCATCTTCCTAATAACATCTCGAAATGATAGAAAACTGGTTGACAATTTGCCTGCTAAGCATAGCAAATATACCCCCCTTATGAGGCAATCTGTGGGTGTTCAACAGTGTACTTTTGATAGGCTGTGATGAATGTATCCTTTGATTTATTTTCTTACCTGTCCAATATTTTTGATAGCTTCTTTAATTTTAAATGGTTACCCTCCCAGACTAGCGTTTTTCATGTATCGTGGAGGCAGTTTACATACATAAATTGCAAAAGACAAAGTTCCAGACCCGCAAACTTGTAGGCCTTGTAATCAGCATGTTCTTTTAGTTGAAAAGTATAAGGTTCATAACAACTTTTCTATTTCAGAAATATGTTCCGTCGGAGCAGCGCAAAGCTGACCAGAAGACAGTTGATGAGGCGGTGATCAAGGCGATCGGTCAGCGCGACGACAAGAAGGTGCTGCGCGGCTACCTTAAGTCCACGTTCGGCCTCCGCTCCAGCCAATTCCCGCACAGAATGCGCTTCTAGTTTTAAGCCAAAATAAATCTTGACAAAATGTGTATTATTTTATTTCATACATGTTATTTTTATTGTCATTACAGAAGTCCACTGCTGAGTAGATTGTCACATAAGGGGGGATATGTGCTATAGTTAGCACGCTAGTTGACAACCGCAGTGTTATTATTTTGGACTAGCTTCTGCCCGCGACTTCGTATGCGGATCCTGTTGCTTATGCCAGCGACAACGGGGTCGTCAAAATCGAAGATCTGAAACGTCATATGTTGAATTCTAAGAGCCCGGGGATGGGAAAACAACGTGATTCGCGAGACGTTCTAGATCTTTCACTACCAGTAAAAGGAGAGGGTAAAATAACTAAACGGCCCATATTCACCGTATCATTATCTTGCTGCATGGAGTCGCGATTATATTGGTATTTTGGATTGTCAGGAATAATATGCTGCTGCCCGTTTCCTATTTCAGTTTTACTCTGGCGCCTCTATAACACCCACACCGAAAATTTCAAAATTTATTTTAAGCGTGTCATGCTTTCTACCACGACAAAGAATTTTCTTCATATTTTAACCGATTTGTTTGGACACCAGTTTTTGACATTTAGCTGTGGCGGCGAACAAATATTTCGAAACACGCCTGTCGTGTCGAGCGCCATAGAAGTTAATGACACGCCCATTGTACCATCAGCCATGTGTAAAATAATGCTCTTTTTATGCTTTATTCACTTGTTTAGACCTGATTAAGTTGACATTACAGTTCTTTTTAATTGACATCAAATATCAGTTACAAACGGACGGATACTTGTTTTTAGTGGCTCTAACTTTCCTTGAAAAGGTGAGCGAGTGATTTTTTTTTATGCAGAGATTACAAACCTTTGGTACTATTTTTTGTGTTATAAAAAAATCATTTATATAAGTAGTTAAAGCTGAATCACCGTGAAAAGTCTTGGTTTTTATTAAGTGTTGACCTAAAAATAAAGTTAGTACTTAAATATCAATCGAGAACCTTAACCCGTTAACGCCCTCTGTACTTGCTTGAGTACATATCGTTATGTCGATATTTGACGTAGGTACTTTGGCATTTGTTTCAATTGAACTATATAATAGCTTATTTTGAAACTCTGTAGACTATAGTCAATAGTTTTGATAGTGACGCGTGAATCGGTTTTGACTTTAATTTGGAGGTAAGTAATTATAGCCAATTTTAAATAAATATTTTAAAGAATTTCCATAATTTTTGGATTTTTGGTAATTAATACTTGTTATTGCTTGTCAAACTGTGTTTCAAATAAAATTGCCATTATGCGATGATTTATTCCTCTGTACACAGACAGATACAGTGGGCATAATTATGTTTACAGTTGTACTCGAAAAGTAATAGATGGCGAACCGCCGCGTTTTTCGAATCAAAATAACTACTCGAAGCTTGAGGAAGCACTAGAATCGATACTGGCTGATGAAAATCAAGATATAGAGTACGATGTGGTGTTAATACCAGACATGTCGCGAATAATGTTACAGCGAGTAGTCGAACGTCCCTAGTGCGAGTTTTTTTTACGTGTTCGATATACGATTTGTATGGAATCAGCGCCAACTAGTGACTATTCGGAAACACAATTCATGAGTTCGAGTTTAACAGATCGAACATTGACTCGCATTCGACAGTGAGAAAGTTAACGCTCGTGATTGGTTGTTTGCAGTATTTTGCGAGTGCGAGCAGAAATTTTGATCGTTCGAGACATACTTTACGCCGTCGCGATCGAAAAAGTTTTCACATAGATTTTTACAGTGAGATAGTAGAGTGAGAATAATTGTTAAAGTAATTCTATATTGTTTTATGTGAATGATGTATAATTATACCAGGAGGTTTTTTCGCTTGTAGAATTTTTACAGTGACTTAAGGCATAAATAACTAATTATTGTAGATGACTGCTATTGTAACGCCAGTGTTGAAGCAAAAGCTCGTACATATTTTAGTAAATGTTCAAGTTTTGTGTAAATAGCGTTTGATAAATCTGAGATCTACCATCACTATACAATAATTAAGTTAATTCCTCTTCAATTCTTCATACAGACCATACTATCGCTTGCATTAGACGATTCATTGCTGAGGAGATAAAATCCAATAAATTCTAGACTATGAAACCTAGTTACAAAACACACGCATCAAAGTTTACTCTGCAGTAAACAAAACCAGAAAAATTATGATATTTTTCTTGATATATGCTCGTTAACTGTTGTGTTGAAAACATGATTCTACTAATTTGATACGATAGATAAAATCACAAACAAACCTCTAAAAAATTTTTTTTATCGAGTAAAAACCATACTAATATACATGTAATCATTCTGATTTTTCGTCAGATTATTATAATACAAGCTATATATTAAGTTACAGTTGTTTTAATTTTTTAGTCCAATTAATTGCTTTTATTTAAAATCGCATATTCTTATTTCCGAAATAATACGTAGACTACGTAGACGTGTCGCTCTTTTTGAAGCAGTATTTACTTAAAGATGGTTTAATGTATTTGTATAATTTTATTTTTAAATTCATTGTTTCACAAATATTTTTCTTTCCATAAATATTCTTTCGTCTACAACATGTAATATAATTAACGCACTTTGAAAAAGTAGTTTGTTCAGAATCGTTTACTGAATCGATTCCTATCATTTTTAATATAGGTAATTTTTTATCCCAAAAATAAAACTACGTAAATTACAGACACACTAAATCTGTACAGTCAAAACAAACTAAAATAAACCATAACTTAAGACAATAAGACTTTTAAGAGTGCAGTTTTATTCGTATTATTACTACCTAATTCTGTCATTCAATAAAAATAAAGAAAAATGAACTTTATTTCAAACACCTTAAAGTCTTTGCGTTCGTGGATTTGTACTGTGACCACAACATTCTTCCGGAATTAGTATAACTAATTTGATAAATAATCAGTGCATAAAAATGTTTAAATAAAAATTCAGTGTATGTATTATGATTATAACACAATATACTAATTGGGGTGTCTGAGGGTGTTCGTTAACTACGTTACATATTGTATATGTCGATTTAAAATGTTTAAAGTTAAAATAGTGTACCTTGTTAATAATTATCATTCTTAAATATGGGACATAGTGAAACCCGTTACGAAGAGTAAAAAACGTTCATATAAATCAAACGCCCAACATATGAACGATATTAAAAGGTTTTACTTATTACTATAACATTTAATTATTACTAAATAATAAATATTTATTTTTACAACAATAAACCTATGAATTTTAGCAACGTAGTTTATTACAGTTGTGTATTTGGTACTAGCGGTATGGATTTGCAGTTTGCATTCGAAAGTGCCCGGGTTCGATTCCAGGAATATGAACTCAAATTTTCTTTTTTGTCTTTTATATATTGAGATACATTTATTAATTACTTTATAAGCCAAAAAATTAAATGTATTTTTTAAACCCATGAGTTTTAAATACGTTGTTTATTACACGTAGAGGCACAGAATAAATAATAGTACTACGTACAGAAGTTGCACTCCTTTGATGTCGACTGCTTACCGACGTTTAATAGCCTACATAATTATTATTAATTAGATAAATCGCACACGCAAGCTAAATAAAACTATCGCGCGCTAGTGTCTGTATTACTTTGCATCTTTTTTGTCACGGCGGACTTTCCGTGGTTATTAAGGGATGTCAATAGAAAGTAAAAAAATACATTGCGAAATGTTAATTATGTTACTTAGGTGAAGTACTAACTAATATTCTGACTATGATTGACTAACCATACTTTCGCCCACGTGTGAGTTCTGCGATGCCTAACGCATGCAAATTGCAAGGTCATTCGTCGGGAATCGTAACGCTTGGGAGAAATAGGTAGATAGTGTAAACAACAAATAAAAATGAAATACGAATTCTAACAGAAATGTGATCTATTCTATTTAGTTAAAAATCTTGTTAGTATACAAAGTTTTAATTTCAGTATTTGGTGTTATTATAACTCAAAATATTTTAATTACAAAAGACAAGTATAGGTATTTAAGTAAATACTTGGATAGTGAAGTAAATTTTAACTAATTGTTGTAATGAAGTACTTAGGTATTTCTTCTGTAGGCCAAATTATTACTTAATTCTTTTTTGCTGTGAGTACCTATCTAACAAAAAAATTAAATAAATTCACCTTTCACAACTTCCTTCTAAAATTCTTCGTTAACTTAAAGAATGATATGAAACCTTTTGTTGGTCATTTCATTTAGTATCCATCTAAGCAACAGTTATATTAGGAACGTCGTTTTGCTATTATAATTTACCAAATAGGTAATATACATATTATATAATTTTTAAAATACATTAAAACTTTAACAACTATTTTTACCTACAATTAAATATACTAAACACTAAACAAAAACTATTTCAACAAGTATTTACATAAAACTAGTCTACGTAAACAGCGTTAAAAAACTCTAACATTCAATTGCCTCCAACGCGCTAGCCCTGACTGCGTTATTTCGCCCGGGCACGTCGCGATTTTAGGTAATTATTTCACGCAGGTAGCAAGAGTGATAGAGGCCTGGTAGAGGTTTTAGATTTGCTGTGTGCACTCAAGAGTGCCCGGGTTCGATTCCAGGAATGAGAAGTCAAATTTTCTTTTTTTAAATTTAGTATTAGTTAGTAATTTATTATATTTAGATAAATTTGTTACTTAAACACTTTTAGAGATAAATAAAAAAAGTTTGAAATGTAATAATTTTTAGCGGAGAAAGAAAGTTAAAAATTATATCAACACGAAAGTTATTTAAAATCCAAACCTCTACAAAATGATAGAGTTTTGGATTTGCAGTTTGCACTCGAGAGTGCCCGGGTTCAATTCCAGGAATGAGATAATAACAATAAAAAACTAAAAATACCTAATGTTTATGTTAAAAGTCCGCGGCTCAAAGATAAACATGACGAAATAACAGAATCATCCAAAAATTGTGATGTTTTATCACATGGAATAGTTTAATTTTATAGAGTTTGTTTATAACAAATAATAATTATGACTATGTATGAATGTTAGTTCTTTTACTTGTAGCTTAACAATTTTTAAAAGTCAAATACAAAAAAATAAACGAAATGCAAAATTACCTACCTTGTGAACCACAGAACTAGATTATTTAGAATTGATATTTCTACGTAATTTAAAATCTATAATTTTTTATAGATTGACAACAGTGGACCTCACGAAAATCATCATTGTGAAATTATTGATTTAAGTAAATATTTTTCATCGAAGCATGTACTGGAAGAAGCTTATAGTACACACATTCATAAAAAACGTGTGTAAAAAACCCTTATGTAAATCATAAAGATGTATAAACGGCGCCACTTCGACATTTTTTTGTAGAGATCTTAAATAAAAAAAAATTAAGTTTGTTTTTAAGTTCGAATCAGTTTTATTTCAAAATCACCCACATCCTTAAATTTTCAAGTAACACCCAAATCAAATAACAAAAAGTAACACTCAAAATAATTTCACTGTCCTATCTAATAGGTCCTTACATAAAAAATTGGCGTTTTATACGGAAGGAACACAAAGTCAATTTTTTTTTTTGTAAAAAATATTTAATAATCAAAGTATGCACTTTTGCCATCTCATAGGTAGTTCATTGATCCCTTTACCAAAAAAAACCATGGGAGCGATAATCAATAAACTCTTTGAAGGCGGTTTAGACTGCCGCATCGTAGTTGAAATTTTTTTCTTATAAGAAGTTGTCCAAATTCCGGAAAAATGGTATTATATTATCGTCGATGGTGTGTCTTTCCTAGAAAAGTGGTGCTGGGATTAGTAGTGACGGGATTGGTACACGCAATTGAGGGAGGGCGGGAGGTGCTCTTCAAACTAGGGAAGACACATCATTTTATTTAATTAAGCGGATTATTGCAAAGTAACTATTAATATCTTTATTAAAATGGTATCTGTTGAAGCAAGGTCCGGGGAGTACGGTGGATGTCGCAGACATTCCAATCGTAGCTCATCTTAGTGGTTGTTTGTTGTGCAGTGTGTGGTCTTGCGTTCTCGTGAAGCAGCAGTGGCCTAGAGCGATTGTCCAATCTCTGTTGTTTAGCAGCTAGTTCTTCTTTCATGGTTTGCAGTTGCTGGCAATAGATATCTGCCGTAATCGTTTGGCCAGATTTTAGAAAGCTGTAGTGAACAACACCGGCGCTAGTCTACCAAACACTCATAAGTAACTGTTTTCTGATCTGGTTGGGTCTCCAGGGTTCAGCTATTGCAACGAGCGCTTCCGATTATACTACCTACAGTATCCACTTTTCATAACAAGTAGTGATTCGATTTAAAATCCCTTCATTTTTGTGTCGGTTGAGCAAAGTAACACAGCAGTCGACGCGTGTTTGCAAGTTCGATTCACTCAATTTTTTTATAGAAGGGGCAAACGAGCATGCGTCACACCTGATGGTAAGTGATTATCGCCGCCCATGAGCAACTGCAACACCAGGGGAATTGCAGATGCGTTGCCGGCCTTTTAAAAACGTCGTACGTACACGCGAATTCAATGCGATGCGGTGCGACGCGGCGGACGTGGATGTGCACGCGAATCGTCTCGCACAGCCGCCACCGACGACGCCGCCGTTCAGTGGGCACTGTGCATTTGTCATGAACGGACGGAAACAAATATTATTGGAAAATTCATTTCTTAAGTATCAAATACTCAAGAAGTATGTACGGCGAAGAAGTGGGACTAATATTGTATACTTAGAAAGGCATATTTATGGGGAATTTGACAATTTGTACGAGGAATTACGGGCTCAAACTTTGTTATTCAAGGAATATTGTCAAATGTTGCCTACAACGTTTGACTATATTGTGTAAGCCATAAAACCTGTTTTGCAATTCACTGGTACCAATTTCCAGCGACCTATTTCTGTAGAAGAACGATTGATGGTGACTTTAAGGTTAGAAAAAATAAATATTTCTTACATTTATTATTATGTATCATTAGCAGTAAGAAGTATTAATCATTTCAATAATGATTAGTTTTCAATATATTCACAAAGAAGTGTAATATCCATCCATGTTGAGGACCGGGTTGTGTTGGATTTAATTTTGGCAGCTCCGTTAGTAGAAGCTCCTGCATTTGTGTTCTAAAATTTAATTTGTTCGTTGACGGTAACTGTTTTATATAAGTTAACTAGCTTGCCAGGCAGACGTTCTGCCCCTTTCGACAACCCTGTCATGTCCTATTAAAAATCCTTAACATCGCAAAAAAAAATTGTGTGTCATTTATGGGCAAAAAAACTATCCTATCCCTCAAATTGGACCAAACTGCACACGGTATGTAAATTTGATTAAAATCGGTTAAGTAGTTTAGGAGTCCATCGCGGACAAACAACGTGACACGTAATTTATATATATTAATATATAGATTTGAACCAAAGAAGATCGCCATCAGTATCAGTAGTATCTTCTTGATCCTGGCGAAGAATTTTCATCTCTCTCTCGATGTCGAGGAATGCTTCTAGATCATTATCTTTTCTTTTGCGTGTTTGTCTTGTGATAGCTGGCCATGATGGTGAAGGCGAAGGCGCTTGACGTGTGTTAATATCTGTTGTTGTATTCTGTGGCATTTCTTGCAACGTAGACATAGATTCTTGGAGTTGGGTGTAGTCACTGTCAGCCACGTCCAGGGCCAAATCGTCTTCCAAACTAGCAGCGTCTGTAGATTCCGACGGATCTCTTGAATTGCTATCTGTTTCTGGTACAATGTTTCCTTCTATTTTTCGAGGTTTCAAAATTACTATTAAGAATGACATGGACTCAAAATATGGCCACGTGCCTGTATACTTCGGCTCGTTGTCGGCGTCAGCCCCAGAACGAGGCTTCGGATTTTTTTTAATTCTTTTATAAAGGTGTCTCTCAAATTTTTCCATTTTTTCTTCGCCATTTCACCTAAAAAATGAAATGAATAATTAATTAATATATTTCAAGTATTTAGCCACGGGCGTACAGTTCCGGCAACTCGCTTACTCGTTCAGAATTTCAAAATCTGCTATTTCCACAATCGTACCACAAGTTTGCAAAGCTATATGGACACAATTAGTTACGAAGCATATGCCTGAGCCTTCAGAAGATAACTTTAAAAACATAGCACAATGTTTTTGGGACAGATGGCATTTTCCTAACTGCATCGTGTGTATTGACGGAAAACATATTCGCATTAAAAACCAAATAAAACTGGTTTATGTACTATAACTACAAATCCTTCTTTTCGATTGGGTTGTTAGCAGTCCCTGATGCAAATTATAAGTTTGTAATGATAAATGTCGGCTCCTATGGAAAAGAAAACGACACCGGTGATTTTGATGAATGCCATTTCGAAGTGCAATAGAACAAGGAAGACTAAAAATACCGAAAGAACAAGTATTGCCGGGCTCAAATATCGAAGCTCCATATGTTCTCCTAGGAGATGCTGCGTTTCCTCTAAAAGAATATCTTATGAGACCTTTTCCAGAAAGATCGAAGACTAAAGGGGACGCAAAAGATAATTATAATTATCGCTTATCTCGAGCAAGAATGGTAGTGGAATGTTCTTTCAGTTCAATAACCTCTAAATTCAGAATTTTGCATAAATCTATCGAAACCAATGTAGAAAATGCAGTTCATAACGTAAAAGCCATATGTTTACTGCACAATATTATACGTGATCTTGAATCAATAAATGAGATTGAATTTATATCTTTCCGGCAAGCATATCAAAATATACCACAAGCACCACGACAAAATTCACAAAAGAGATTTAATGCTACATCACGAGCAGCAGAACAAGCGAGAGAAAACTTTAAATTGTTTTTTCTCTACAAAGATATAATATGTGTAATAGCAATCTATAATAAATAAATGTGTTGTACTTACTTGTAGTCCCAGTTAATTTGGCCAAATCCTCCCATTCACGGTACGATAATAACAGGTTCTGATAATTTTTATTCCTTTTATCCCATAATATAAAACGTTCTTGGATTGCATTAATAAAATTTTCTGACATTAACCTAAAAAAAGACGACACCGCATCCAGTTCGCGCGAAAATATTTTTGCAATTACTATATTTCGCGGAGGAATTAGGGTGAGCGTGGCGCGAGCTCCTGCAGTGAATATATATCATTACTAACTAACTTGACCGGTAAAACAGGCACAAGTACTTCGATACAAACAATAATTGTTAACAATAAATTGGACGATTCATGCGGAAAAGTTAGTAAGTAAGATTTCTTAAGTGATTAATTAATTTTACATTTAGTTGTTGAATTTATACAAAAAATATTTATTATAATTTAGAATTTTGATTTTATATATGTGATTTTATAGATAAAATTAATTTACTTCATATTATACTACATTAACATTAAAATGTATTTAATACACATCACCTATGCCACATCACTCCCCTGCCGAGACCGTTTCACAGGCAATAGTAGTCTGGAAATCGCACTATTCTTCCGCTTAGTGGTTTTTTTAGAGTATTCTCACTTTGACCAGTTGTGGGGGCTTTGGTTTCCTTTTCTGTAGGTGTTATTTCCTCTGGATAAACAGATCATCCACTGCTGTAAAGGTAAGCAAGCTTGAGTCGGTCTATGGTAACCGTACTTTCCATACCTTTAATCATCAATTTGAAGGTCTTAAGACCCCTTTCCAGGATTTTATATGGGCCTGAATAAGGAGGTTCCAATGATGGTGTAGCTGGACCCTGACGCAAGAAAACGTATTCAGCCGTCTGAAGATCTTTAGGGATGTAGAAGGTTTTAGTTCCGTGCCATGCAGCTAGGCGAGGTGTTAAATTAGCCATGTGACGTCGAAGGCGAGATGCAAAATCCTTGATTTCAGCGGTCAAGTCTGGTGAGGAAACGAAGAACTCTCCTGGTAATCGTAAAGGTTCTCCGTATACCAATTCGGCGGCTGATGTTTTGAGGTCCTCTTTCCCGGCGCTTCTTATACCTAGAAGCACAAGTGGTTGGATTTCTGTCCATTGCGGGTTATTGTAGCACCTAATTGCAGTTTTTAGCTGACGATGTAGTCTTTCTACCATACCGTTGCTTTGTGGGTGGTATGAAGTGGTTGTTGTCAACTTGGCACCGATGAAAGATGCAACTGCCTGGAATAATTTTGACTCAAACTGCCGTCCCCGGTCTGTGGTGATCTTCTGTGGGCATCTGAAATGAGCTACCCAGCCACTGATGAAGGTTTTGACGCATGTTTCTGCCGTAATTTCTTCTAATGGGTAGGCCTCAGGCCATCGCCTATATATGTCGATGACGGTGAGGCTGTACCTGTAATGAGAAGGAAGCGGTAATGGCTCTACTATATCCATGTGGATATGAGAGAAACGTTGTGATGGAGTAGGGAAAGTGGATTAAGGTGAAGAGGTATGGCGGTTGATTTTGCTGCGTTGGCAATCTGTGCATTGCTTCGTCCATTCTTTGCTGTCTCGACGAACACCCGGCCACACGAATCTTTCGGAGATAAGTTTTGCTGTGACTGAAGCTCCGGGATGACTGAGATTGTGCATTTGGGAGAAAACTTGCCTTCTGAATCTTAGAGTAATATATGGCCTAGGAGTATGTGTTGAGATATCACAATATATCTTAGCTTCGGGTGACTTAATTCTAATCGAAGCGCTGTTCCCTTATTGATTGGATCCTGCAGTTCAGGGTCTGAGTTCTGATCGTTTGCAAGATCTTCATAGTTAAGGGTTTCAGAGATAGTCTCAACTCGTGACAACGCATCGGCAACAGTGTTATCACAGCCTGACACATGTTTGATATCCGTTGTAAATTGAGATATGAAGCTTAAGTATCGGTGTTGGCGTGGAGCAGTTGTCTCTTTTTGTGACAAACGCAAAGGTAATTGCTTTGTGGTCGGTGTACACCGTAAAATGCCTGGCTTCGACCATAAAAAGGAAGTGTTTGATAGCTTCGTATATTGCCAATAGTTCTCTGTCATATGGACTGTATTTTTTCAGTGCTGACGTAAGTTTTCTGGACAAAAACGCTAGGGGTTCCCAGCTCCCCCCAAACGAGTTCCCGCCTTGTCGTGGCGGGGGGGCTTAGAAGCCGTGGCTTGGTCCCCCACGGCGAAACAAAGAGGAACCCATATGGCTGGTCCGAGGTGGAGGGCCGGCCCGAGGTGGCCACTCCGAGTGGGCTTGGGAAGCCCACTTCGGATGTGTGTTGGTGGACTGCGGTGAGAGGTGTGTCCTCCCCACCTACCGCTGCAGCCGAGGTGGAGTCGCGGAGGAAGAGGAGTGTTGGTATGGCGATGCGCCACTCGCCCTATCCTCCGCGACTCAAACGGGGCCGCACCGTTGATGCGGTGGTGATGGGGCTGCGGGGGGAGAGGATTGTCGGTATTGCGAGGCGCCGCTCTCCCTATCCTCCGCAGCCGAATCTTGGTTGGCGGCGGAGCCATAGATCAGATCCGCCGCTGGGGTCGGGAAGGCTAGTACTTCTAAGTGCTCGTTTTTCCTGGCCCCATGGCCTTCGCGCATCGGACGCGGGGGCGTCTGTTGCGCAGATGTAATTGGAGGCCGTGGAGGAAGGCGTGCCATGTGTTCTGGTGCGCCTTACTTGGGAAGGAGAACGGGGAGGAATATTCCTCTCCCGAGGAGGTGCTGCCATGGGGCGGCAGTCGCTGGTAGGGCCGCGGAAGTGTGCGAAAGCGTTCCCGTAGCCCTGCCAATATGCGACGAAGGTGGAACACCATGGGGTTTTAGTCGGTGCGAGTCCGACATAACCCGTCCTTGCCCCCGCGAGGCGGGTATGCGTAGGCATTTCCCCATGTTTAAAAAAAAAAAGGGGTTCCCAGCTGTTTTTCACTTTTTGCTGTAGAACGGCTCCTATGGCTTTATCAGATGCGTCAGTGTATAGTGATAGTTCTGCGTGAGGATTTGGATGTACTAACATGGTGGGATCAGACAGCGAGGATTTACAATCTTCGAATGCCTTCAGCATCTCGGGGCTCATGACTACCGGTTTGGATCCTTTAATATTTTTGTCCCATAATGCATCAAGAAGTGGAGCTTGTGTACTTCCTGCTTCCTTCAAACACCTACGAAAATAGTTCAGCATACCGAGGAATCTTCGGAGTTCTCTAGCTATTTTTGGTAATGGGAAGTCTTTGATCGCTGCAACTTTCGTCTCCATTGGACGAGTTCCCTGCGCTGAAATGTGGTAACCTAAAAAGCTACTTCCTTGACACCTAATATACTTTTAGAAGTATTTATGAGTACTCCGTACTTTCAAGTCGTCGAAAAAGTGTCTCAAGGTGTTCCATATGCTCTTCTTCGGTATGTGAAAATATCAATATATCGTCAAGATATCCAAATGTGAAATCTAGTTCTTGGAGTACCTCATCTATGAATCTTTGAAACATCTGGGCTGCGTTCCGGAGGCCAAACATCATGAATGGGAATTCGAACAACCCAAACGGAGTCGTGATCGCTGTCTTTTCAATATCACTCTCAACTAAAGGAATCTGGTTGTAAGCCTTCACTAAATCTAATTTGATATTACAACCAGCAAGCTGATGAGCAAAGTCCTGTATGTTTCTGAGGGGGTAGCGATTCAGGATGGTCCGTGCGTTTAAAGCTCGATAATCACCACAAGGCCTCCAGCCATCGTCTTTTTTGCGTACTAGGTGTAGTGCTGTGCACCAAGAGCTTTCCGAGCGTCGTGCTGTGCCGTTCATCAACATTTCCTCAAATTCCTTTCTAGCTATGAGGAGTCTATCAAGAGCTAAACGACGAGGTCGTACTGCTACTGGAGGTCCTGGAGTAACGCGAATGTGATGCTTGGTATTATGTTTGGGTTCTGACATCGTACCAGCCGGTTTCGTTATGGTAGGGTATTGGCGGAGTAATTCATGATACTTTGAACTACCATTAACAGTTTTGATGGCTTCTATCTGGTCGTTTTTGTGATGAGGCACTGATATTGATAGACCTGTGAGGCCGTCGATAAGTCTATGATGACGGCAGTCGACTAATAAATCGTAATAACTTAGAAAGTCAACCCCGATTATGGGTTTGGAGACATCTGCCACGATAAATTTCCAAACAAAGTCTCGACGAAGTCCAAGTGAAGTTGAAGGTAGCCGTAAGTGGAAATGACGCTACCATTTGCTGCGAAAAGTTAGTATTTGCACTTTTTTACTGGACCCTTCATCATGGTCCGTGGAAAAACACATAAGTCAGAACCTGTGTCGATGAGGTAATTAATTTTACTTTTTCTATCTGTTATGAATAGACGGCCGTTACAAGTCTGGCAGTCATTCGTCGCCACTAATGGCTGCCATGGTCTTTTCCCGACTTAAAATTACAGGGTGTTGTGCATTTCGTTGAATTAATACTAAACTTTCTGTGATACCAACATATACCGTTGTCTGAGCGCGACCGAGATCGTGAACGGAACCTAAATCGCCTGTTGCGTGACGAGGATCTGGTTCGCCATTCATCTGTGTTGTTAATGCAGAAACTTGTATTGTCAGCTCCGCGATTTGAATGGCCATTGCTTACATAGCAGCGTACGGTGTAGGAATTTGTTGTGGTGGACAGGAAGATGTCGATGGAGAAACCTCGTTTAAGTGTCCTCCAGGCAAAATGTCATTTATTTTGTCAGCTACTTCAGACAATTCATCTAATGGCATCTCTGCATTTGATGCGACAATGGCCTGCATATTTTGAGGTAGTCTACTCGACCAAATTGTGCGTATAAAATTTTCGGGAACACTAGGACCTGCTAGATGTACAAGATGACGCAAAAATTGTGACGGTTTGCGACTTCCAAGCTCTTCATGCATTAAGAGCTGTTTTACCTTCTGTTCTTGGGAGGCGGAGAGTCGACGAATTAATTCAGTCTTAAGAGTTTCATATTTATTTTCTCTAGGCGGATTGATATTGACATCCTCGACTTCAGCTGCGTATTCGTGATCGAGCTGGGATACAATATAATAAAATTTTGTGGTGTCACTTGTTATATTTGATAAAATAAATTGTCCTTCTATTTGAGCGAACCATAGTGCTGTTCTGTCAGGCCAAACGGGGGTGGTCGAACACCTACTCTAAATGTATTTGTTTTCATTTCTCCACTCGTGGTGTCATCTAAATTTTCACTTTCGACGTTCTGCATCAGAGGCGTCGTTAAATTTTTATTCGCCACGGTTTCGGTAGGGCTTATTTTTGTTCAAGATCGGAAGGTCACCAGTATAACGGGCGTTGTTTTACTTCAGGTATATTAATTAGCCTGACTACAATAAAACAGACACTCTAATAGTTTATTCCTGCACACAAGTTTATTTATTTACTAACACAACACTTTCAATTCAATATTACTATAACTAATATATTATGCAAACCGAGGGGCGGCTCGCAGTGAATACATATCATTACTAACTAACTTGACCGGTAAAACGGGCACACGTACTTCGCTACAAACAATAATTGTTAACTATAAATTGGATGATTCATGCGGAAAAGTTAGTAAGTAGGATTTCTTAAGTGATTAATTAATTTTACATTTAGTTGTTGAATTTATACAAAAAATATTTATTATAATTTAGAATTTAAATTTTATATATGTGATTTTATGGATAACATTAAAATGTATTTAATACACATCACCTATGCCACAGTAGTCGATTCCACAAGGAAGTTGTGCGAGGAAGAAAGCTTCTTTTAAATCGCTTAGTGGTGGACCACCAGTCATTCAGATGGTATGGATGGTATCGCGAGTTTTGTCGCGATGTGCGATGATGAAATTGTGCGGCTGGAATTAGTCCGAACAATTCCTCAGCGCACTCCCCTTGGTAGATGCGATAAAATACGAAAAGAGACGCAAAACCTCTTCGCGGTGCCAGTGAGAATCCGATCGAAAAGAGCTCGGTTGCCGACGATTCGAACAGCTCTGTGCTGGTTGCGATCAAATGGAAGGAGCTTGCACTGGGAAGCCCTGGCCCAGAAATGGGAACAACCCACCACCTCCTATGGCTCCACCGACCCTCAGGTCGTACGGGCCGAATCTCGGGAGATGCGCGCGGTACTTGCACCTTGCTCTTTCCCGCGCGCACTTTCTTGACTCCCTACAAATATTTATTCTATTCCTTGTCCCATTTTAATGTCATTCTCCCCCTTCTGGGGCTGACGGCACAATAACGCCTACGTCGTCAGGCCTTACTACCAGCATTCTGTCTTGCCTTATCCTGCAATCGTGCCTCCTAATCGCAAACTCGCATAGATGGGAAGAGTACTCCATGTGCGGCCGAACCTGCGCCTTGTAAAGTTGCAGGCGGTGTGCCTGCAAGAAATACTGTCCCGCTCTACTGAGCACGCCAAGCTTTTTAGAGGCCTATTTGGCCTTCTCTTCCAAGTGACCACGAAACTGCACGTCACTCGATATGTCGACGCCGAGGATTCCGATACTGGCTGAGGCAACAAGGGGAGTGCTTTGAAACTGAGAAGATACGACAAAGGGGTTCTTTTTAGCAGTTAACGCGCAAACTTGTGTCTTCTGGGGGTTAAACTGGACTAGATTTAGTCGCCCCCAGTCCGAGATTTTGTTCAAAGTCTTGACTTCAGACACAAGTTTGTCACGGTACTCGACGACGTTTTCCCGAGAAATATTGGCACGGCCGGTGTTCAAAGCATCACCAGTGCTGTCGTCTGCATAACAATGAATGTTCCGGTTTGCAACATGTCATTGATATGCAGAAGACACGGCGTCGGTGATAGCACGCAGCCTTGTGGAGCACCAGCGTTAATGGACTTGTAACCGGAGCATGCACCGTCTACTACGACCTTGATGCTCCAATCAGCAAGAAAACTGGTGATCCAATTGCACAATTTCTCGGGAAGTCCATAGGAAGGAAGCTTTGTTGTTCGCTATGTCCAAACTAACGGCCAACGCCTCCCACTTTAACTTTACTGTCTCCGCTCATTTATGAGTTACACAAATAAGACACAAGGATAAGAGCGGTTAACTTTTTTAAGGATCGGGTGCACGAGGTGTTCCATGGTTTCGGGACTACACCGAAGGAGTAGGAGTACCGGAAAAGACTCGTTAAAAACGGTACAACTCCGGAGCACACATCTTCAGCAGAATAGGAGGGACGACCACTCGACTTGTTGACGTCCAGGGAGTGGAGTGCTCAGCGCACTGAGCGTTGAATCAATTCATGAGATACCCGTCGTTAAAGTTTTTTTACTTTCCCGATTTGCTTCAAGTGGATTAATACAGTTTTATCACTTACCCCGAAGCCTGCAGCTATCTCTGATGTGCTTTGTGATGGATCCGCTTCCACAATAGATTTTAATTCTTCATTTTCCACTTTGGTCTCAGGTCGTCCACGGGGTTGGTTCTAAAGGTCGAAATTTCCAGAACGATAACGTTGAAACTAAAAACGTACCGTGCTTTCTTTTGCTACACCAGCGCCGTACACATCATTAATCCTTCGAGCTGTTTCTGCAACACTGGTTGCAGAACTCGGACTCGTATATACCGATATTTCATGTTTTCCAATGTGCGGTAATAAGCGACGCCTAAACAAAAAAATAATGAGGAAAAAACAAATGAATGACTTTTCAAAACTCAAATGTACGAGCAAAATGAATTTATCAACTTGAATTTGGAATTCTTAACCAAAAAGGAGATATTTCAGATCAAAGTAGTCAGTACGACAAAACGCTAATTTCATATGTAAGGAGTCAATATTTGTTTATTAGATCTATACCCTACTTGTTATCTTATCTATTATAACACTCGGGCGTAACCTCGCTAATCCGTTAGTTTAACTTCACTGTCAATGGCTGCGTTTGGCAGAAAAAAGCGCTAGCAAGCGCTTGTAAGCAAAATGACGATCGTAAGCGGTAAGCGCTGTCAAATCGTAAGTAGCTATTTTTCTAGGACACGAAGTTAGTTTTAACCGGGGAACCTAACCTAATTTAAATATATGTTTGTAAAGTATTCATATTATAAACTTACCAATCATGAATTTTAATAACATGTATCTACATATATGTTTATTCGTGTCATTATATTAATTAAAACTAATATTGCACAAAACAACTTATAAACTCTACTTCATACTTCAAAACAAACAAATTAAATAAGCAAAATGGCGGATTGTGTCAGCGCTACTGAAGTAGTAATCGTGTCCTGGCTGAAAACTATTTCAGCGCTTGTAAGAAAAAAGCGCTAGCAAGCGCTATAAAAAGTATAATAAAATATAAAAGAACAACTTATAAACTCTACTTCAAAACAAACAAAGTAAATAAGCAAAATGGCGGATGGCGTCAGCGCTACCGAAGTTAGCAAACGTGTCCTGGCCGAAAACTGTTTAGTTTCGCCATTTTACTTACAAGCATGTATGTGTTTCCGATTATTGTCACTAGTTGGCGCTTTCTTCACTCCATATAAATCGTAGTTAACGTTCTCGGGATCGAACACGTAAAAAAAACTCGCACTATGAACGAATATAGGCACGCAGAGAAGCGAATGCGAAATACAATCGCAGCTAACCTTTCGATTCGCGTTTGCTCACCTTGAATGGAGTTTGTTCCTTCCCTTATGTTGGTAGCACTTTCGCATCGTGAGATAAACTAACCAAATTTAGGATAACATATCTACATAGTGGTCTTAATATTAGTAGCTGTCTATCAAATTTGTGGTTATTATAGCATTATATACCATATATTTTGACAGCTTGTGTTTGTTGTGAAGTTGCGATTGTTTGTTGAAAATATAATATAAAAAACATGAAAACTAGTTCGTCCCAATTCGATTTGATGGTGACATTTATGGAGCAGTAAGTTGAATTTAATTTATTTAGTGCTTAGGGATCATATGTTGTGTATTTTGTACCTAGGTTTCACGGACTATAATTTATTGGTTTTAGGCACGGAGATCTCAGCAAACCATCCTATAATGCAAGAGGTAGGATCGCCTCTTTAAAAAATTGGGAGAAATTAGCTCAGTTATTGAATAGTGATGGTAGCGGTGGTACAAAAAGTACTGAGAAATGGAAGAAGGTATGTATAAATGGTTATTTATTTTATACCTGTTTTGGTTTAAACTGGGTTGCGGTTCTCTAATTTTATGAAAAAAATTCTCTGCTCGCTTTAAGGTTTGGAGTGATTATAAAAATAATACGAAAAAAAAGGCTGCTCGTCTGCATAAAGCAGCTAAAGGTACTGGTGGTGGGCCTGCTATACATGGTAAATTGACAGATTTGGAACAAAGAGTCCTAAATCTGATTGGTGTACAAGTAGCTACGGACTTGACAGTTGAAGAGGCTGGGTTGTCACAGGTTACAACTTTTTTACTTAAATTAAGCTACCTTCTATTTAGTTATATATCTCATAAATTGTATTTTTTTTCAGGTGATTTATGTTCAGGGTAATCCCATAGTAAATATAGAACAAGGTATAACATTGCCACAACCACATCACTTAGTAGAATGTAAGTTGCAGTAGTGGGATATCAGCATGTTATTAACAGTACATAATAATTTTTATTTTATTTTAGGTTCTTCACAGCCTGGTCAGGAAAATGTTGCCTCGTTACTGCCACCATCGCATCCGAGGGCTATATCTTCACCACCTCTTGCCTTTGCAAAGGAAGAAGTTCAAAGTAATTCATAACTTACTTATTTAACAGTATAAAAACTTCAGACTGGTACTGAGTTTGTTCCGGGTATCAAATCCAGAAATTCTTGCTTAGCAGCAGCACTTGCAACCACTCAACCACTGAGGCACTACCTCACATTTTCTGAATAAATTAAAAATAATAAAATATACATGAGCTATAGTTATGTTCACTCAATCGATTAAGTATTAATACATCTTACTTTAAATAAAAAATATTTAATGTTATAAATTTGTAAGACAACTTGTCTGTCTTTTTGTTTTTTATACACAACTTTATTAATTTTGTTGAAATTTTAATTTAATTTTTATATGTTAGGTTCTCAATCTTGCAACGACCCAGGGCCATCAAAACATCCTCATGTTGACCCAGCAAAGACTTTGGCATCTCTGCTTATTTCAAAGATAGAACTTTAATTATTCATTAAGGTGATAATTGTAAATAAATTTGATAACATATTAACATTACAGAAATTATTACAGATACAGGCATGCTCTTTCCAACTATGCCCTTATCTCAAGTCCAAGAAATTCAGCCAGGGCCTGCTTTGTCAGGGCAAACAACATCTCACCATGCTAGACCAATTCGAAGTCAGAGATCACATCGAAGACGAGTGAGGCACACAGAGCAGGTAGCACAACAGTTTCTCCAAGCCAAAGAATACTGGAGAAATCTAAAAAGTCAGCAACACCAAGACTTCATGGACATGAGAAGGGAGCAAAATAGAATCAGGGAGTTGGAAGTTCAGGCTCAGAGAGAGTGGCAAGCATTAGGATTAAGAGCTTTAGATATTTTAGATAAATTAGTTAGTAAGTATTGTAAAGATTAGTCAGTTAATATACACAGGCCTCCAAAAAAATCGACCCACCCGTTAATTTTGAGTTAATATCTGAGTACCCACTTGACATTGTTTTAGAGGAATACAAGTGCTATTGTGGGTATTTGTAACATTTTAAGTGCACTATAAAATTGTCGACTTGTGCATAGAGTGCAAGCCATTGACTTATATATTACTAGCGTAAGGACCGGGCCGATCAAGCAACTAAAATAGACCAGTGCGCTGGCCTTAAAATTACAGTTTAGGGCCAACGCGACTCGGTCGATACTGGTGCGCGCGCAAGACAGATTTGCCTGTCATAAATATGTCTAGTTGCGTCGTAAAAGGGTGCAAAAATTACGATACAAAGATTAAATAGGAACATGGGACATTGTATCATTGGTTAAATAACCTTATATTTATTTTGTTACAATTAAATTATTATATAAATGCATTTTTAAAGTTTTATTTTACAGTTAGTTTAGTTACGTTACCAAGATTAGGCCAGGGTTGGATTCAGACCCTCAAAAATATTGTACATAGAAAATAAAATTACATATATTATTTTTCAAAAATTATATCACGTTTGACGTTTCATGTTTAATTTTCCCCATGTGCCGGGATATTGGCGACACGCGTCTAGTTTATCTATACGTTTCGTTTTTTGCCGGTTTTATTTTTATTTCTGTTTAATTTTAGTCTAAAAATCTTAGTGTAAGTTAAATTTTGGATATTGGTACCCAATATATTTTATACAATAGGGGTAAAATGAAAAGAGTATAAAATAAACCATATCTGCGTAATTGAATCTGAAAATCTGATTTATAAAATATTTTGAAATTCTGTTTTCAAACCGATTGCTTCGGAGCTTAGAGTTTTTATCGTGGTAGCCTCTCATTATAGTTGTATCAAGGATGCAACATAAACGCATCGATCGAGCACCAATTGGCCAGAAAGGGGGCTTATTCTAACAAAAAACGCTGTACTCATGTACAATACAGAAATTCTCTATATCGTAGGGTTAATATTAAAAAATAAAAGGACTCAATAATAATACAAGTCGACCTTTAGGCAAAATTATGGTATTTTCGCTTAGTACTATTACGATACTATATACTACAAACTATGAAATAATAGTACAATTAGGAAAAATAATACTACGAAATCCGACCCTGGTTACGTCGTGTGTATTATGACAGTTGCGCTACTTTTTCTTGTATGAAAAAGTTATGAGTATAATATTTAGTTGGGCCTATCCTTCCTTTCGAAATCATTGGTGCAAACTTAGTTTATTTCGGACTTTTGACGCGTAATATTTTTGGTTCTGTGCATAGTGACTTAATCTTTTAATTATTTATTGGAGCGGACATATCGTTACTTTTAACCATAAAATATGGATACCACTGAAGCAGAAGCCGCTCAAGTGGTAGATCTCATTCGTGAAGGGCTAAGTCAGCGCAATGTGGCAAGGAGATTAAATTTGAGTCGATCAGCAGTGCGCGTAGAGTTTAGAAACGATAACCGTCGGAAACCAGGGTCTGGAAGAGGACGTCTCACAAACCCGACGGATGACCATTTTATTTAATGATGCTATGATTCACAGTACGCGAGCAAACCGGGTTCGATCCCCGCCGGCACCAATGAAATTGTTAATTGCAATTTAAGTGCTGATTTTACCACGTGCTCGGCGGTGAAGGAAAACATCGTGAGGAAACCTGCATGTCTGAGAAATAAGAAAAAAAATTCGAAGACATGTGAAGTTCGCCAATACGCATTGGGGCAGCGCGGCGGACACTTCCTTGCCTTGCCCTAAAAACCTCTCAGAAATGAGGGGAGGCCTGTGCCCAGCAGTGGGACGTATATAGGCTGTAACTTTAACGAATAGTAGATATTTACCAAATATTCGTATTCGGCGAATACTAATCACGAATATTTAAAAACTAATATTTTTGTACGCCACTCTAATTACTGGCAGACTAAAAACGCGCGTTGTCGGCGTGTAAAAATACGACGGGTGCTACATAAAGGCAGGGGAGTTATTATTATTACCCATTTTAACACTCAAACAACTGAAATATTCTCAACAACCTAACAATATACCGTAATATGTTTTGTTTCAAGATGTTGAAACTAGATGGGACTCAACACATCAGATATTGAAGAGATTACATGAACAATGCATAGCGATTCAAGATGTTTTACCATCTCTACCAAATTATCGTCATGAAATTACAGAAAGGCAATGGGCTCTTATTAACCAAATTATTTATATTCTGGTCAATTTTGAAGAAACTACTAAAGAGCTTAGCATAGAATCAACAACGACATTATCTCAAGCAATCTCAGTAATACGAAGTCTTAAATCTTGCCTCTGATCCATTGACCTTTTATTTGCCGAGAAGATGTCCGTTTTTCAGGGTTGAAAAAAACTGCTCAAAAATATTTTTCCCTGAAACCATGTACAGTCGCCTCGGAAAGGCTTTTTTCAATGGCTGAGAACATCCAGACTGAGAAAAGAAATCGCCTAAAATCAGAAAATCCACAAATTGTATTTATTTTTAACAAAAATTGTTCTGTTGTAAATTTTAATTATTAGAACAATAGAAAATCATCAAATAAATTAGTTTTTCATAATCATGGCGAGATATTCGTATTCGTAAAAGTATTATTCGTGGCATTACTACAATTTTTTTGCGTTGACTTCTTTGCGTAATCGGCATCTTTCTGCTGTTGATGTTCAGGGAAACTGAGGGCAACTCGTGGAGTGGTTGTAAGTGAGAATACGGTGAGAAGAAGACTTCGGGAGCTAAACCTGACACCACACAATCCAGCGACGGGAACAAATTCTCTGCATCTCAAGCAAGGTTAGAATTTGCTGGGCAACACGTGCTGTGGATTCTTGCTCAATGGGAGACAGTTCTCTTCAGTGATGAAAGCCGAATGACCCTTGTAGGCTCTAATGGACGTCGTAACGTTATGCGAAAACCAAGAAAATATTATACTCAGTGTTGCATAAGAGAAACAGTCCGGTTTGGTGGAGGCTCTACAATGTTTTGGGGTGACATATCTTTAACCGGATGTACTGAGTTGGTTTTAAAGTTACATTACGAATATTTTGCAACCTCATGTGATGCCTTACGCTGGGTATATTGGGGACAATTTTCAACTCATGCATGGTAATTGATAACGCAAAACCGCTCGTCGCTAGAATTGTAACTGGATATCTTCTGGTCGGAATTCCAGTTATGCAGTGGCCAGTAATTCTAGACGAAGATCCATCGAGCATCTCTGGGACCAGATAAAAAGAAAGGTAGAGCCCGAAATCCAGTTCCCGAGACTTGGATCAACTGGAAGCCGCCTTAACAGAAGAGTGGGCACAGACACCCTAAGAAGATATAAAAAACTGATCCATTCCCTTATCAGGCGTATGCAAGCGGTGATAAAAGCAGGAGGAGGTAACACCCCATATTAGAGTAAGGTTTACATTTTAAAATATCATTTTAACATATCGAACAGTAAAATCGTAAATTTATATTATAGGTATAAGGCATATATATATATATATATATATATATATATATATATATATATATATATATATATATGTATATACGAGGGTGGATTGAAAAGTACTCGGCCTAACACAGATCCATTCAATTCTAAAAATCAAATCTACCCACATTATTTAGTTCAGTTCAGACTAGTTCATTGTGTGAAGTTCGAAACGTGTGCGATAATTAGTTGTGATTTTATAAATTTATTAACAAAGTAATCGGACATAATTTCCGCGAATGGAGCAAATCGAGCAGCGTGCCGTCATTAAGTACCTCCATAAGAAGGGGCTATCATCAAAAGCCATCCATGATGACATGGTCAGTACATTAGGCGATTGCGCTCTGTCATATTCATCCGTCAAAAAATGGATAGCAGAATTTAAGCGTGGTAGAGAGAGTGTGAAAGATGAACCCCGCCCGCTGGAAGGCCTTCGACGTCAACTACTGACGAAAATATTAAAAAAGTACTTGATTTAATAATGGGAGACCGCAGATTAAAAATTAGAGAGATAGCCGAGATTATAGGCATCTCTTATGAATGAACTCAAAACATCATTGTCAACGAGTTGGGTTTCCACAAGGTGTCTGCGAGGTGGGTTCCGCGACTGCTTTCAGTTGAACAAAAAAAGGACACGATTGACTATTTCACGCGACTGTTTGGAGTTATTTGAAGCCGATGCAGATGATTTTTTGAATCATTTTGTTACTATGGACGAAACATGGGTTCATTACTGTACACCGGAAACAAAACAACAATCAAAACAGTGGAGAAGACCTGGTTCACCACCCCCTAAAAAGGCTAAGTCGATTTTGTCGGCAAATAAGGTGATGGCTTCAGTATTCTGGGACTCGAAAGGTGTGATTATGATTGATTGTCTTGAAAGGAGTCAGACTATAAACTCTGATTACTACTGCACCTTACTACGTCGTTTACGAGAGGAAATAAAAGAAAAACGTCGAGGAATGCTCAGAAGAAAAGTCCTGTTTCATCAAGATAACGCCCGTGTTCACACGTCAGTACAGTCAATGGCTGAAATTCACAACTGTGGCTTTGAACTGTTACCGCATCCGCCGTATTCACCTGATCTGGCACCATCAGACTTCTTTCTGTTCCCTAACCTAAAAAAGCACTTGGGAGGTCAAAGATTTTCGACAAACGACAAGGTCAAAGCAGCTGTAGACGCATATTTTGACTCTAAGGAAGAATCATTTTTTTTCAACGGTCTAAATGCTTGGAAGGGGGAGGTGGCAAAAGTGTATTTAACTTGATTGTGATTATGTAGAAAAATAAAAATATAACTGATTTAGTATGTGTTTATTTTCTTGGTTAGGCCGAGTACTTTTCAATCCACCCTCTTATATATATATATATATATATATATATATATATATATATGCCTTATACACCATACATTCAGCAGGAAGTATAAAGTGGATATGCCTCAAACTCCGAGATTAATTTTAAAGAGCAGAGAAATCCCGTGATTTATTAAATAAATAAAAGAAAAAAATGTAACTTAAAATAAAAAGTTACACAGTAATGTCGGAAGCGAACACTTCTAATCTTAGTGGTACTTTGAATAAATCCTTTTGAAAGGCCTTTTGAAAGGCCTTTTGAAAAAGCAAAACCTCAGAGTCTAGGCAAGAAGCAAAAGTATTTTCGAATTTATAAAAAAAATGAAGTATAAGTATGAGAACTTGCTTAAGACTATTAATAATTTGTATTATGAATTAATGTAGACTAATAAAAATTGTTTGTTTTATTTGTCTTGTCTATCTCTGAGGTTTTTATTATTATTTATTTGTAATATTGTTTGCCACATAGTATTGTCTATTGGAAATCTCGGGAAGATCCATATTAATATCAACATTTCAATGTAAGACCTCTGATTATTACATTATCAAGATAAAAAATATCCATCGACTGTGGTAAAAACCCATAGGACAGTTTTTTGCGAAAAAACGTAGGTGAGTCGATGTTTTTGGAGGCTAGTGTATGTATATTTTTACTGTATTGCTATTGTTGTTACTTATACCAGGCCTAAGTCACTCTTGCTACCGGCGTGAAATAATTACCTACAATCGCGAATCACCCATTTTTTAACGCTGTCTACGTAAAATAGTTTTTGTAAATACTTGTTGAAATAGTTTTTGTTTAGTGTTTAGTATATTTAATTGTAACATAAAATTGTTAAAAAAGTTTTAGTGTAATTTTAAGATTATATATATTATGTATTACCTATTTGATAAATTGTAATGGCAAAACGTCGTTCTTACAATAATTGTTGCATGGATAGATGCTAAATAACCAACCAAAGGTTTCAGATATAATATCTTTTTTAAGATTTTAGTAGGAAGTTATAAAAACTGAATTTTTTTTTTGTTAGACAGGTACTCATAGCAAAAAAGAATTAAGTAATAATTTATCTACAGAATACTTTGTTACAAAACTTATATTACTTCACTATCCAAATAATCTACTTACATACCTGTACTTGTCTTTTGTAATTAAAATATTTAAAATTATAATAACATAAAACAGTGAAATAAAACTGATTACCAGCAAGATTTTTAACTAAGTAAATACGATCATATTTCTGTTAGGAATCAGGTTTATTTGTTGTTTACACTACAGTGGGTGGCAAAATTATTAAACTTAAACAAAAATTCATCACAATCCGTGAAACTGGTGGCTGTAATTAACTAATTATTGCAAAAATGTTATTGTTTTTTAATTTACTGAAAAGACCTGGCAAAGCCTTTAATTAATATGGCAACACATTATTTGTACTTTTTTTCAAAATGGCGGTCGCTAATGTCAGTGCATGTCAAATTTGTTCTATGGTGATCTGTGAGAAGTATTCGTTATAAGTTTTGACAGTGCTTTCGACTCGCATATTCGGTAAGTGTTGATATGTTTACATTTAGGATTATTCTTATACTTGATCAATACATTATTGTTATGTTTTTGTTCGTATACAATTTTTTGAGGTGTTAACGAACCTAACCTAAAAATGTGTATTTAACGGATATGGGGAAGTGTGCTGATCTCACACCAAGAAAAAAAACACAGATTTCAACGATTTTACGGCATTGTCAAAATACCCAGTTTCATATAGCCGATTTCTTTGATGTGTCACTGTCCAGTATGAGTAAGATCAAGAAAAAAACTGGACGCTGAAGTACCCATCAAGGCGGTTCGAGTCGGTAAATGTGGTCGAAAACGCATTACAACACCTTGAACTCACCGTGGAATATGTCGCGTTACACTTGAAAACCGTCGAAATCCAAGAATCGTCATAAAACAAATTCTGAATGATAACGGTGTACAAGTATCGGACCGGACTCTCAGGCGAAGATTTGTAGAGATGGGGCTAAAATGTTATCGACCACTGAAGAAACCAAAACTTACTCCTGCCATGAAGCTCAAACGTCTGGCCAAGGAGCATTGACACTGGAGACTGGAAAGACTGGAGCAAGGTTGGATATCCGTAATACACATTTAGAGTTTGTTTCATTTATAAATCATTTATAAATATAAACATAAAAATATCTTGCAGTTCTGTTACTCGGACGAGTCGTCAATACGGATTCTTCAGGATAAAACTGAGTTTGTTCGGCAAAGAACGCATGAAAAATTCAATAAAGACTGCATTGTGGAAGTGTCAAGCATCCCACTTCAGTGATAATATGGTCCATCATCAGCAGTAAAGGGACTGGAAGGCTGTATATCGTACAAGGAACGATGCGTCAGAATCAGTATAAAAAAGTTCTGTAGGAAAAACTGATCCCACAAAGAACAGAATGGTTCGGGACTCTGCCCCTGTCATAAAGCCAAATCCGTCAAACAATACCTATAAAACAATCAGATTAACACCCTGGGCTGGCCGGGAAACTCACTCGACTTGAATCCTATAGAAAATGAGTGGGCAGTCCTAAAAACTAAAATCTCAAGGAATACAATTATAACCAACAAAAGAGAACTAATTGAGAACATCATCAGAGTCCGGCACAATACTCCAAAGCTCCAAGAAGTAGCCCTTTCATGCATTGAGAGCATGCCACGCCATGTTCAAGCCGTCATAAAAGTTGAGGGCGGAATAACAAAATAGTGATAGAAATATTTTCACACTATTAACTATTAAACCTCTATCAGGGGGCACGGTAGTGCCCCCGCCAACTCGAGCAAAGAAGCGGCACGGCCGTACCATACTTTTCTCGAAGCAATTCAGGCCATTTTCGACCCCCTATAACTTCGTTGTGGATAGAACTAGAAACCTGAATTTTCAGAAACCAAGCAGGCATTGTATAGAAACGATATATTTCAAATTTCGTTCAATTTGAACCAGTAGTTTAGGATTATACTCGTAATTAGTCAAAGTTTAATTTTGTCACTCACTGACTGACCGATCATCAAAACTCTAAGACACTTCTAGCAGACAGAAGCTTCAAACTTAGAACACTATTAGTGTTTAGTGTATAAATTAAGACAAAACTAAAATATTTTTCAATTACGTTCCAGTTTTCTAGATACACTAACAATAATCTCACAACTTTTTACGATAGAAGAACTGAGTTGCGGACTTTTTTTTACAAGTTATGTTTTGATGGCATAAACAAGTTTACCTTTTGTCCTAAAAAATTTAATATTATTAAAAAAATATTTTATAAGTTTGAGACAGTTCACATAACAGACATATAACTATTGTATTTTATAGCTTAAGTTGACAAAATACAAAGAAATCGTTTTGAGTATAATAATTTGGCCACCCACTGTATCTATCCATCTCCGTCGCGATTCCCGACGAATGGCCTTGCAATTTGCATGCATTGGGCGTTGATGAACTCACATAGGTGCGAAAATATGGTCAGTCGATCATAGTCAGAATAAGTAATTGATCTAAGTAACTTAATTAACATTTCGCAATGTATATTGTTTTACTCTTTAATGACATCCCTTAGTAACCACGGAAAATCCGCCGTGACGAAGGAAGGGCAAAATACAATACGGACACTCGCGCGCGGCGATAAAGTTTTATTTAGCTTGTGTGCGCGATTTATCTAATTAATAATAATTATGTAGGCTATTCTGCCGCCATAAGGAAAAAGGACGTTTCTACATAAAGGACGAAACAGAGAAAAAAAAATAAAATGTATTTCAAAAACAAAAAAATGCGCTGTGCGAAAGGAAATAAACCAAATAATAATGTTGTGGTGTAAAAGTTTGTATCAGTGTTTGATCTATCAGCAATTATATGTAAATTTTAATTAAATAAATTTTATGTATTAAATAAATAACTTTTTCTTTTTCTTTTTAGTAAAAAAAATGCAAGAAAATACTTGATACGGCAATGAAAAGACGCTTCTGGCTAGAAACGTCCTTTCAACTTAGTATTTTTTTAAACGTCTTTCTTACTTAGTGATAATGTGTTACCAGGTTCTAGTTAACTTAATAAAAAAGACGTTAATAGCCATTTGCTGCTTTTCAACTTAGTAATACTAATATTCAATTGACTAAAAAATAATAATACCCTGCACATTGTTAGATCACCAACAACCCTAAACCTTACTTAAACGTACGTTTTAACATGATAATTATCATGTATTAAATAAAACACAAAGTATGATAATCAGGCTTATATTTCTTTTTTATAGAATATAAAAAATAGCAATTACAAACCTCTCATAAAATAAAGTTAAACTCTAAACTCGCGTTAAACTCTTCTGTTAGAAACACAAATTAAGTATCAAAACAATCTAAGTTTGTATTTATAATTAATAATCACAGCTTTTAAGGAATCTCTTATATTGAAGTCTTAATCTTATACTTGAGTGAGATCAAACTAACACTACGACTTATGTGTTTTTCATAAAATAAAAAAACAATAATAGCAATAAGAAACCTCTCTGAACTTATAATAGCTACTCTAAGTTACTCTTCTAAAGACAAATATTAAAAAGCTATCTAAGTTTGAACAAATTATACTTAATATTAGCAATAATCACAGCTTTATAACTCTTGTAAATTTAGTCTTCATCAACTTGAGTCAGATCAACACTATTTTTATCAGTAGGTAGATTATACCAAAACGATTTTCTGTTGTCTGGCATTAAGGGAGTCAGTTTTTGTATGATCGCTGTCTTGCGCTCTTGACTAATGCCTCTATACTGATTTTTTGGTTTTGGAGGTGGTATCCCAGATTTTATATTTTTTAATCTCAGAAAGTCAAGTGAGTATTCTTCTTCATTGTGGAAAGCAGTCTTATAATAAATGATGTGGGTGCCTCTACGGAATGTTACTTCACACATATCACATAAATAAGCACGAGGGGAAGAATTTTGTAGTTTGTAAGTTGAAGAACAGTCTTCAAACTCACAAAAATCATCCACATTCATTACTTTAACGATAATGTTTGTTCTGGTGTTCGATACTGCTTGATGAAAGTCTTCGAAATCATAGATGTGTTTCTTCCTCTTCATAGATTGCTCCACCTGATGATGGAATTCGTCTGCTGCCATGTGCGTGTGGCCTACCTCTAAATATTTTAATGTAATCGTTTCATAATTGACTTCGACTGAATTAACAAGATGGAGCAAATAAGAATACAAACTCCAATTTTTATTCTGGGCTGCACAATTATCTAACCAGATGACTACATTTTTCAGGTCTCTATTAGCCTGCAAAAAAGCTCTGAAACAGCTTATTATGTCACTCATTTTGCGACCAGCAATTGCTTCATGCCATATCGCGGCATAGGTTTGCAAAGTAGCATTGTTTTTTTTGTCACCTATTGGCACAAAACTTTCATTGAATACGATTACTCTTGGGCAAAACATTACAATTTTAAATTCTTCAATGCGTGGGAGCATAATTACTTTCTCTAAATCAGCCGCAAAATAGGCAGTATCTGAGGTGATGTTTGCGTTATTTTGTTTTTCTACATCTTTTTTGTATGCTTCCCTGGCTGATGTATATTTTTCCCGGTGTCGTTCGTAATCTCGGCATTCTTGACAATTTCTGTGTCTTTTCTCCTTGTATTCCGGATTGTGGATAAAAAACTTTTCACACACCTCACACTCTTCATGTCCAAGTTTTGTAAAACATATATTTAACTTCTTCACAACTTTTCTGTAGTAGTCATAAGAAATCTGTTCGTGAACAGGAAGGTCTTTCATGTTTTGTTGTTCGTAAAAGTCTCGATACATTCTGGTCACTGTTAGGTCAGACGGAAGATATTTTCTATTTGGAGCGTGCTCTCGTCTGTAGTGGGAAATTGAAGGATTAAAAGAATTTATATGTTCTACAATTTTAGTGTCGTCCAACTTTTTTGGATTAGGATTGGTTCCTCGCTTATCAACTGGAATGTTGTTTGTTATGGTGCATAAGGCGTTTCTTACAGATTTATCATTTTTTCGACTGTAACCCAGTGTTTCTAGAAAAAATACTTTGCAAACATTCACTTTTACCCCTGTTTCATTTGTCAGAAAATATAATATGCTTACGTTTCTTGGCAGTTTTCTGTTTTCTTTAACGGTTTTTCTCTTAGGATCTTCTTTGGATGTGTTATTTATTATGAAATACTGTTGCTCTTTCCAAGACATGTTTCTAAAGTGATGGTTTAGGTTTTGTCGTGCTTCTTCTGTAAACCGTGTATGACATTTTTTTTTACATCCATCATTACACCCTGGCTTAAGTTTATATTTAGATTCCATATCTTTCAGTTTTTTAATTTGTTTTCTCTGCGCCGGTGATTCATCATACTTCTTACGTTTTCTGATAGTCCCCTTTTTTGTGAAATTTTGTGGCGTATCTTCGTCGCTTGAGACTTCAGGTGACTCAGGAATAGTGACGTTAATTGACGGTGATTGGGGTATGGTATTTGTAGAAGAATCTGGATCTTCTGAACATTTTGACTGATCTAAACTTGAGGGTAAATAATTTTTATCAAAAAATGAATCATCTGAATCAAAATCCAGGATGCTGTCTGAGCTGTTATGAAGATCCGCATTATTCAAAGAGTTATTTTCGTTCGTAGTAGATAAAGGCAGCTCATAATAATTGGTGTTCAGGTTTGACTCCTGGGAAGAACTGGTTGATCGCACCATCGAAATTATTTTTGAGCATCGATAATGTCGCATTTTGTCACACTGAAACAAATAAATAAACAAAATACTTAGAAAAAATCACCGGCGCAGAAAAAATAAACGAAAAAACTGAAAGATATTATCTGAATACAAATTTTCATATCCCACTATATACAAAAAACTCATTATGGTAATAATAAAACAAGGTATAAAATGTATAAATGCAAACCTCTTCATTGTTAGTTGGTACTCAACGGTGTAAACAAATTCGAAAAAAAGCGTTTAGCTAGATAAAGGTGTCGTTTTCTAACAGATATATTTAATATTGAAATATTTTAACATAAAAATCGGTATATTTATTTGTATCACCTGTTAGGTTTGCAGTTTTTTCAATCTTAAATTACTCATGGGTATGCTTAAGTATACATAAATTATAATTCCGGGAAGTTTGACTTACGATTTTTCCGTAGTTATAGCTCGAAGAGCCGCGCGCACGTGTCGTCAGTCTGTCTGCCTGGACGCAACTGAAGCACAGTATACCAACCGCGAGCCCCACTTCACCCCGCACAACTAGCAATACTAAGTAGGAAAGGCACTACTGCCACTTGCGCCTGCCCATTTTTCGTAATACTACGCTAAAAAGGCACACCTACGCAGAACAGTCTTTTCTTCTTATGACCATGCAGAAGTGTCTTTTCATTTTATGATGAATTAAATATTTTGTAAATAAATAGGACGCTACTACTAAAATGCGTTTTTTCAACTTAGTGGACTTCAGAAACGTCTTTTCTATTTAGTAATATTTGATTCATATCGCAGATGCGTCTTATTTAACAGTAAGATTTATAGGGTTCCGCTTAATTTATGCAAAATATAAAAATACTGGTGGATGCCATTTTTTTTACTGATTTGGAACATTTATGTAACTCCATTTCGAAAAAAATGTTAGATACGTCTTTTTTCCTTATGGCGGCAGTATTGAATGTCGGCAAGTAGTCAACATCAAAGGTGTGTAACTTTTGTACGTAGTACTATTATTTATCTTGTGCTTATACTATGTTACTATTAATTCTTTAGTTAAATCTGTGATCAAGTTTGAGACTGATTATTAATAAAAGAAAGGTTTAATAATAATATTAATAATAATAATAATTTATTTTCAGACTTTGTCCATAAAGATGTTAGTAGAACAATAACTACTTACAACTAATGTTAGTATTTAACTTTTTTTTTAAACTTAACAAATTAAATATCGCTCCTACGTTACAAATATCTTATTTATTCAATTTCATATGTAGGCTCAACCAGTGCTTCATAACGGCAGAATCCCACCTATTAGCAAGTGTATTCAGGATGCTGTTGGTAGAGGTACGTAGTCGATTCATTAACGAAGCGGATCTTTTACGTATTATGGCATGAAAGCCATCCGTGTGTGCCTCGACGAACATGGCAGAGGCACTACAATAACGCGGCAATCCTAACAGCACCCTGAACGCATTATTGTATTGTACACGCAGGACATTGTATGTCCGCTGCGTGTATCTGACCCACAAGTTGCATGTGTAAAAGCACTGACAATAAGCTTTAAAAAAGCGTAACTTTAACTTCTTTAGTACATCGTGCAAACCTGCGGGCCAGCATATTACAGCGAACAGCCAACGCCCTGCGTTCCCTTTCTATATCCAAGTCATCCTCTAAGTCCTCTGTTACCCAGTGGCCTAAGTACTTAAATTTGACGACTCTGTTCAAAGGACTATCACAGAGCTTAACAGTAGGCAAGGTGAGCTGCCTTTTAGTGCCTGAATTAAAAACCATGAGCCCGCTCTTCGTTACATTATACTTGAGCCCATGGGTCTTTGCGTATGATTCACAGATCCCTAGCAGCTTTCTGAGTGCACCTATCGTGGGGCTCAGCAGCACCATGTCATCTGCATAGCTTATGTTATTTATGCAAACTCCGTCTATAGAACAACCGACCTTAGTGCTGCTGAGCTCCACAATCAACTGGTTTATGTATAAGTTGAAAAGCGTAGGCGGACTCAACCCTCCTTGTCTCACCCCGCAATCCAGCCCATACCCCTCAGAAAAGCTGCTACCCCATCGAACATAGTTTATTTGGTTACTATACCAATATTTAAATACGGAGATAATTTCCTGGGGCAAGTCAGTTTCCTCCTGTAACTTTCGCCATAAAATGTCATAAGAGACTAGATCAAAAGCTTTTGATAGATCTAAAAAACAGGCATACACCGGCGTTTTTCTATCTGTGTAGTACCTAACAGTCTGCTTAAGACACAAAATTGCACTCTCTGTGGATAGTCCAGGTCTGAATCCAAATTGAGCATGATGCAGATGAATGAGCTTTCTCAATTTCCTGTCAAGCAGACCGTCCAGCACCTTAGCCACTATGGTGGCTAGTGAGATTGGCCTGTAATTATTTAAATCTGATATATCTCCTGTTCTGTTCTTAATGATAGGCACCACAATTGTCTTCATGAGATCAGTCGGAAGATATTGATGAGCTATACATAAACTTAGAAACATAGCCAACACTCTTGGCAGATGGGCACCAGCATGTACCAGATGTTCAATGCTAAGCCCATCATACCCTGGTGATTTACCTCTAGTCATAGAATTTATTACTTCAAAAACTTCTTTGGCAGAGATCCTTACACACGATCCACCTGCAAAACGTCCACCATCGATTAATCTCGATGACGGACCCCGCGGTGACTACTTTAAAATGCTCTTTAAATAGATTGGCTATGTCTCCAGGCTGGTTGTGACCCTGAATATTAGCCGGAAGGCTCGACTTGTGATTCAGTTCATTCGTAAGTTTCCAGAATTCTTTAAATTTCTTTTGCGAATGACTTGATGCGATCTTATCCATTCTTAATTGCTCTGCGTGATTTTGACACCATTTTAACTTTGACTTGAAATTCCGTCTTGTTTCACACATTTTATTATAATAATAACCCGAAGATGGCTTACCGTATAAGACCCACGTTTGAAAGGCAAGTCGAGCCTCCCCGTGGGCATCTCTAACGTATTTATTCCACAACATATTTCTTATTCCTTTTGTTATTACAACTGGCCTGAGCTGATTCTCTAAGAATAGTAACAATATTACTGTACATATTATCTAAAATTAATTTGTGATTATCATTAATACATATATTATTACAACAATTCATAAACTCCTGTGGAAAATTTACGTCTTTTAATTTAGAGTGACACAATTTTTTATAAGTTTCTATTTGGTTTTTTTTTTATATGATAGGGTGACAAACATGCACACAATCCACCTGATGGTAAGTGGTTGCTGTGGCCCACAGACATCTACATCTATCCTCAATTACGAATCAAAATGCAGATGCGTTGTCACCCGTGAGGACTAAGATGGAATGCCTCGTTTCCAGTAAAAAGGGTCTCCGGTTCTCTACACTTACCATACGAAACACAGCAGCATTAAGCTACTATTTCACGCTGGTATTCTATGAGAGCGTGGTCCTTCCCCGGTCGAGCCGACCCATTCGTGCTACAACTATACATCTAATATAACTGCAGCATGGCTCTACCACATATAAAAATTATTTGTATTGGTTATTATTTCTGACACCCCAAATTATTTTATTATTACAGAAATAGCTTACCACATTTTTTGATCTTAATAAGTTAATATTGCACTCGATCAGCAATGGAACATGATCCGACCAGTAGGTATCATACAGTACAGTGACATCTATGACTGAGCGCCTTGCGGCCTCAGTTACAACGCAATGATCCAACCAGCGCCGACAACCGTGCGCATCACTAGTGTAAGTATAGCTGCCCGCTGGGAGGACCTCCAAATCAACTGCTGATCCATGCAAAAATTTATCAGTTCGTTACAAAATATTGTACCGGGATGCGAATTAAAGTCACCTAACGCAAATACAGAGTCGACATTTTCAATAATAGCACTTATCTCGCTCATGCACGATGTAAATTCTATTAAATTGTCTACTGAATCCGTTGGCATATAAACCGAGAATATTATGTAAGTTCGTTTACTATGGAACACTTTAATTGCTGTGAGACGCACACTACTACATTCGACCACACTGACACAATCAAACGCATTTTTCCTCCACAAGAGGGCCACACCACCATAGGGTCTGCCTGTGAGTATACCGGACGACGTATCAACCGCTAACTTACCAGTATAGCTGAAGTCTTGATGTATCTCGCCCAGAAACGTTATGTCATCAGGTAGAAGCCATGTCTCCTGTAGCGCTAGCACGTCAGACTTTTCACACAGGTGTCTTACGCATTCCAAAGAGCGTTTAACAGATTTACAATTGAAAGTAGTAAATTTTGTCGTACTATACATGAACGATTTTTTTTACACATTATCTGAGGTCTCCTGATGTCTGTACTTAAAATGCACAAATCTTCTGAATGAGATGCCGTCCGGCCAAAGACAGCAAGTTTTTGTTTGGACACGTATAATTTGAACGCATTATATCCTTTATCTTTTTTCATAGTCACTTTTTCTAGTGTCATTAACTCGTTAGTTTTATTCCTAATATAATCGACGATATCTTTTTCTAGCGTCTCTCTATGTACGTTAGATATAAATAGCGGAATTTTCAAGTCCGCTGATTTAAATTTCTCCTCAGGTTTTATTTCTGCTTTTCCTGTCTTACCTATAAAACGGTTACGCAATCTGCGCTTTTGAACTTTTATCCAGGCCTCTGGCGGTTCTTCATTTTTACAAGCTTCACCTTTTTTCAATATTTCGGCCATAGTTAGCGAAGTCTGAAATTTAACATCACAAGATGTATCTTTTATTGCGTTATTATTGTTAGTAGACTTATTCACTACATTTGTTTTGTCATCATTCATCCTGCTTTTACTCTGTGAGTTGTGCATTGGAATAGGAGTTACTTTAGTGCCTCCTGCGCTGAATGATTGCCGCCCATCCGCACCGTTATAAGCAGTCACGCCTCCAGATGTAAAGTGGTCATCCTTATGCATATCTGACACAGGTGCGAGTGCATCGACACTATCACGAGCACGACTAGCTACTTGTGCGATAGCTGTCTTTTCCGTCTCTGTCTGTACGTCAGTTGTTTGTAACGGTACATCAGCTGTTGATAACTCGTGTGACAAGCCCATCGGCCCACTGTCGCCGAACGTAGTACCCACATCTAACAAGAAGGCACTGCACCTTCTACCTACCCTATGATGATGAGCTGGTGATGTGGATGTTTTTAAGAAAGATATATCTTTCTTTAGCTCTTCCAGGTGCGTCTTGGTTACATAATTATCCTTGATGATCTTAACCTCCTGTTGCAACAAAACTATATCCTTCAGCAGTCGAGTTACATCTATATGATCGAAAGTGACCGGCGGAAGTTTTTGTAGGTCACGAGCAACCAAAATAGGCGCACTGTCAGGGTCTGTTTCTTTGAAAAGACTAATGATGTCTTCTAACTCCCTTTGGGATTTCCCATCTGTACGTCGAGTTAATTTTCCATCTCTGCGTCTTATATTTTTTCTTTTACCTGAAGGCAATGACTCGAATAGCAAACTTTTTGCATTAGTGATATCTTCAGCTGTAAAGGCACTACTACAAATTCGGACAATGCTCTCCTCGTCCATCACATCTGCCTTGTTTTGTATAAAGGCAAGCACTTCGCTTATCACAATGTTACAATTTGTACATTTTACCACTTTGGACGCCATTATCTTATCGTACAATGACCTTTCGCTTATGCTCAAAGCGAACACATGTACGCGCTTTGCCGTTCCGCGTGCGACTCTTTTTTAAGCTTTAAGCTTATCCAAATTTAGTTATTTAATCTTTGTTGTAACCTTCTTGCTAATTGATCACTTAACATTCTACCTCTAATTAAGCTTCTCCTCTTTCTGTGTAGCTTATTTGGTCACATTCTATTGTCCTTTTTTTTTTTTTTTTTTTTTTTTTTTTTATAGAATAGGGTGACAAACGAGCACACAGTCCACCTGATGGTAAGTGGTTGCTGCGGCCCATAGACATCTACATCCATCCTCCATTAAAAATCAAAATGCAGATGCGTTGTCACCCGTGAGGACTGAGATGGAATGCCTCGTTTCCAGTAAAAAGGGTCTCCGGTTCTCTACACTCACCATACGAAATACAGCAGCATTAAGCTACTATTTCACGCTGGTATTCTGTGAGAGCGTGGTCCTTCCCCGGTCGAGCCGACCCATTCGTGCTACAACTATACTACTAATATAACTGCAGCATGGCTCTACCACGTAAAACCTACCTACCTACCTTTCAAATTGCAGATCTAAAAATAATCCATAATTTATAAGTTGATTTAAAATTAAGATTCCTGTGTCCTCAACACCAAAATTAATAATTATATTACGTAGCACAGATCATGCTAAAATAATGTATGCACATTTTACAGGCTTGTAATCCAGAACTCTAACCTTGTGCAGAATCTCCTTGAGTTAAATATAAGTATTATTATCAATAATATAGATGATAGGTATTATTTAGTAATGTTTTACTTAAAAATACTCCATATACTTAACTCGAAACAATCCAATAAGTTTACTATAAATATATTACCTAAAAGCCAGACCATTTCTCCATTTCGGTGCAAAGATTGCATGTATCGTATGTGTTTAAATCACTGTTTTCCTATAAGCAGTAATGATTTGCACCTCCAAAATTGGAATTAACATTTAAAATTCTATATTCATTCATCACATACCTGAAAAAAGACATTTTGTTCTGTTTCTGTCCCTTTTTAACCAATCAATAATATAATTAAACATTAAGTGAATGTTAGTACTTACGACTATAATATAAATGTTCCTCTTCTTTTGGTGGGACAACTATTTTAAAATGACTTCCATCAATACAACCAATCACTCCAGGGGTTCCAAATTCTTTTTGTAAAATCTAAATTTTAAAATAAGTAATTACCGAATCAAATAAATAATTTGCTTAAATATATATATATATATATATATATATATATATATATATATATATATATATATATATATATATATATATATATATTCATTTCATTTATTCAAGCAACCAAGGCTCATATTTTGTTAGTATTACTTATAAACTAAACTTATAGCTATGTTAGTAAGCATAATATTATTATTACATATAATTATGTGAAGTGTAAAAAAAAATACATTTATATTTATATGTGCCATTTTCTCACCAATCCACCCGATATGGCGCTACAATGACACATATATAGGCAGTCCAGCCTGCTAGCAATCACTTTCAGGATACTATTGTTACTCCCCCGCACCCTGCGCACCAGAGACGCGCATCTCTTGCGCATGGTCGCGTAAAAGCAGTCCACTCGCGCTTTTGCGAACATCCCTGATGCACTACAGAAGCGAGGCAGTCCCAGCAGCACCCTAAATGCGTTGTTGTATTTGTTGCATGAATAAGTCAACTAGCGCCATCTAGTGTCAGGAACGAGAGTGAGGGGAGCATTGAGAAAATGACATCACAAATCACTCAACTGACAGCGCCTAGTCGAAACTCGAACGCTCGGTACCTTGCGCGTGTTTACTTGAACATTCTGGATATTTCTTTGCTAATTTAAATATATAGGCGCTGCAAGATGCGATGGGAGTAGTGTTGATTTGGCGAAACAAGCGAAGCTTCGGAGCGGAATAAAGTGAATAAGTGTGTTTAATTATTAGTGTTTTTAACTTTAATTTGTGTAAAGTAAATTAAAGTGTTAATTTAGGTAATTTTATCGGCAATTTTTATTGTCACGAACCGCAAGCTCGTAACATATTGTACTCGGAGGGCGTTGTAAGCCTTTTGAGTATATCTAGCCCACAGGCTGCACGTGTAAAATGACGTGCAGTAAGCTCTAAATAGGGCTATTTTAACTTCCCTTGAACAGCGTGCAAACCTGCAAGCTATCATGTTCGTTCTTACTGACAACGCCCTACGTTCCCTCTCAATGTCATCATCATCCCTGAGACGAGGAGTCAAAACATGGCCAAGATATTTATACCTAAACGCTCTTTGTAAAATATTACCATTAATTGAAATAGGTCATGTCTCTTACTCCCGGTCTCAAAGACCATGACGTGGCTCTTTTTAGGGTTCCGTAGTCAACTAGGAACCCTTATAGTTTCGCCATGTCTGTCTGTCCGTCTGTCCGTCCTCGCTTAATCTCTGTGACCGTTAGCACTAGAAAGCTGAAATTTGGTACCAATATGTGTATCAATCACGCCGACAAAGTGGTAAAATAAAAATTGGAAAAAAATGTTTTATTAGGGTAGCCCCCCTATATGTAAAGTAGGAAATGATTTTTTTTTAATTTCAACCCTAACGTGTGATATATTGTTAGAAAGGTATTTAAAAATGAATAGGGGTTTACTAAAATCATTTTTTGATAATGTCAATAATTTCGGAAATAATCGCTCCAAAAGTAAAAAAACAATGTGTCCCCCCCCCCCCCTCTAACTTTTGAACCATAAGTTTAGAAAATATGAAAAAAATCTGAAAAGTAGAACTTTATAAGGACTTTCTAGGAAAATCGTTTTGAACTTGGACGGAAACAACAGTATCCACTACCGGGAGCAGTTGCAGGGGCGCGGAGCGCTGCTGGAGCGCGAACATAATGGATACCCACCTTTAAACTCATAAGTGGGAACACTTATTGTGACGGACGGGAAACTACGGAACCCTACACTGAGCGTGGCCCGACACGCTCTTGGCCGGTTTTATTTACATTATAATTCAGACCATGTGTGAGGGCGAAAGCTTCACAAATCTTCACTAATCTTTGTAGGCCGCATATAGATGCACTCAGCAACACCATATCATCTGCGTAACTGATGTTGTTGACGCAGACATCGTCTATGTGACAGCCGACTCTGTTGCTGTTGAGCTCACCTATTAAAAGTTTAAAAAAAAGTTTAAAGTTGTTAAAAAAATAAGTATGTGTATATTTTTTACCATGGACTAACTGCTTGTTTAGCAGCTGGAGTATCAGAGAACTGAATATATTTATAAATTACATTTTTGTGTGTCAGCGCCTGAGTAACTTCTTCTATGTAGGTACACACTGCACATTTTTTGTGATGTGTGCTTGGCGACTCCAACTGGCCTTTGGTAGGATCCATGGTTGAAATTTAGAATCATTTCGCAGGAGGGGGTGGCAGGGGATGAGGGGAGGGGAGGGTGTGAGCGTCCCCCTCACCCCCGACACCACTCCCATTAAAAGGTAATACACCGTTCTTGAGAAAAATCAAAAAGAAAATTCCATAGACCTAACCTCAAAATGATAACTCAATATGAATTAGCGGGTGGGAGTTGGTGGGGAGGGAGGCGGGGGAGTTGTAGAGTCCTTCCCACTTCCACCCCCTACCGGCTGCCAGCTTAGTTTTATTTTATAAATTTTTTAAAAATCTTATTTTGAGGTTATGTTTTCGTAATGTTTTTACTATAAACCTGATTTATGAGGGGAGAGAGTTGGGAGAGGGAACCACCACGCCACTCAACGTAGCGCAGTTGAGGGAAGGCCGGTCGACAGAGCCCCGCTTCGCGGGGATCCTACTCCTAAGCGGTTTATAAAAAAATAACCACGAAGATGATGGTGGCGTCCCCTTCTAACTTAACCTGTCTGAGTCGCGATGCCTTAAGTCCCGAACTCGCTTCGCTTGATCTTACACTCAATAAAACACCAAAATATTGACTTTTATAAAACTTTAAATTATAAACATAATTTATAGCTACAATCATTTGTAAAAAAAGATCCAGAGGGGTAGCGAAATCGTCGAAAAACAGGCTTAGGCAGATAAAAACGTTAGGGAGCACATTCAATTTACAATAATACCACAAATAATACACTGGAGAGCACACATTTACGCAAGAAGAGCAACTAAAGTTGTTCAAAATGACTAATAAATCGCTATTAAATACTCTATGTTACAGCGCGCTATTTATAAGTAAGCGTGTAGGAGGCCGGCAAGCGCGTTAAGTTTAGCAGCACGCTACATTACGTGTCGTTCATTAGATAGACCGCGTGCTATATAAGAATATTATTTCGTAATAAGTCGCATTTTAGATTAAAATAAAATAAAGTGGTAAAGAGAAATCAAAGAGCGCTCTTTACTCTTCTTTTCAGGCTTACGACTTTCTATAATCCTAAAAATATTTTTAAGGCATGTATTTTTTAAAACAAAATAAAATAAATCATTTTTATTATAATTGTTGTAAACGTTATTTTAACCTTAATATAAATTATAAATCAATTAAAGGTGTATTTAAAAGTTTATTGATTGTATATACAAAAATCAACCATTTACAAATACTATTATATACACTTATGTATCTATATTTTATTTACATTTAAAAACATTAATTAAGCTTCTTCTGTAGCAGACAACTGTGTCCTTCTATCACTTATAAATATACAGTATACACTAACTAAACAACGTCTAACACTAAATTAGTTCGCGCGCGATGAATAGCGTTCTGCTAGATTAAATATGCGTCACATGTCTACTCCCAACAGCGCTGCTGCTGGAACTAATTGCCACTTGATATGAATAGGGCCAAAGCGTCATAGCGCAATGGCGACTACTTACATAGCACGCGCTTTGCGTTATGGAGAGATAGCGCGCTATAAGCTATGGCGCAATGTTTGATATTAACCACCATTACAACTAACGGTAACGGCGGAATGCATAAAAATTAGTATTGTTGCGCGCTTAAGTTGACGTCATGTACCCGGCACTAACGCCATCTAGTGTCGGGAACCAGAGCGAGGAGGGCTTCCTAGAAAATGTCAGTCCTGACTTTCGATCATCAGCGCCATCTAGTATCGAACAGAAGAATTAAGCTTTCTAGAAGCCCTACACTCGAACTTTCTGCGCCTGGTCAGTAGGCGCCCGTGTTTACTTGAATATTCTGGAGGTTTCGGTGAAAAATGTGTATTTAAAGGCTTTGCAAGACGTGATTGAGGCAGTATTGAATTTGGCGAGACAAGCGAGGCTTCGGAGCGAAATAAAGTGAATCAGTGTGATTAATTATTAGTGCCTTTTAAGTATTAATTAGTGTAAAGTGAATTAAAGTGTTAATTTTGGTAATTCAATCGGCAGTTTCTATTGTCATTTGTCACGAACCCTAAGCTCGTAGCAATTGGTGTCAGAAGTGGGATAAAAACATGCCGATTTTACCTAAGGAGGAAACGAGGGTGGTGGCGACAGACAGCTGTCGTTTGCAAATGGTTGTCCCTAAAGCTAAAGTGCTGAATGTTCTACAGCTGTGCCATAATGGCCGTTCAGGAGTCCATCTGGGAGTTAAACGAACTCTACTGAATGTCCGAGAACAGTTTTATTGGGTCCATTATCGTGACGATGTCGAGGATTGGTGTCGCACATGTACAAGTTGTGCGGCTGTGAAGGGACCTCAGACACGTAGTAGAGTAGCAACAAAATTGTACAATGTTGGTGCAGCATGGGATAGGACAGCCCTTGACATTGCGGAGTCGTTTCAAAAAGGCGCAAGAGTGACTCCTAAGATCGTCCATGTGGATCGCCTGGCGCGTTATTATGGGGCTGATAATGCTCGGGACGAACGTCTTAGGAGGGGGCAGTGTTGCGTGCCTAAGTTGACGTCATGTACCCGGCACTAGCGCAATCTAGTGTCGAGAACCAGAACGAGGAGGGCTTCCTAGAAAATGTCAATCTTGACTTTCGATCAACAGCACCATCTAGTATCGAACAGAAGAATTAAGCTTTCTAGAAGCCCCACACTCGAACTTTCTGCGCCTGGTCAGTAGGCGCCCGTATATACTTGAATATTCTGGAGGTTGCGGTGAAAAATGTGTATTTAAAGGCGCTGCAAGACGCGATCGAGGCTGTATTGAATTTGGCGAGACAAGCGAAGCTTCGGAGCGAAATAAAGTGAATTAGTGTGATTAATTATTAGTGCCTTTTAAGTTTTAATTAGTGTAAAGTGAATTAAAGTGTTAATTTTGGTAATTCAATCGGCAGTTTCTATTGTCACGAACATTAAGCTCGTAACAGTATGTCATGCAATTTGAACCTTGACAGAAAGTATAGACAGTAGAATAAATAATATGACACTAGTCTTACGTCCTTGTTGCACTTACACAAAATTCTGTATGCTATCCAGCTTTCACAGTAATATTGCATGTTTTTCCATGTTTTACGCATTTTAGTTTATAATAGTTTACATTTATTTTTTCGATAACGGTGCATTACCTTTTAATGTGAGTAGTATTATTATAATCGTGGATCAAACCTCTACCAAATAAAACACCTTACTCCCCCAAACTCTTGCCAAACGATTCTAAACCCAACCCGGATCTAGTTGCAAAAAATAATAGAGCTGTGAACACCTGCAATTAAAAAGACAACACAACTTATATTTAAACTTGCATTTGTTTTAAACTTGAGTTGCAGAAATGTAAAAAACTTAATGATCGATACGTATTTTATGTTTCAAGGAAACGCGTTAAGAGGACCTAAGATTTATCAAACTCCTTACATCCCTACTCTACATAAAAACTTGAATACTTTTTTATGAAAATATCTATTTTTAAATTGCCTCTCCGTGAGGTGTATCAAGGGGTTGAAAGATGCACGGCTCTTGTTTCAACATTGGCGTTATAATTGCGGTCATCTTGTGCTTTAGCGTCTGTAAACATCCTCCATGCGAAAAAAAACGTCCTGCCATAATTAAATATCGTTCACAAAATACGAAATAAAATAAAATCTTCAACAATTGTTCTCGCTACACTGTCTCACTGTAAACATCTATGTGAAAACTTTCTCGATAGCGTCAGAGTAAAGTTTATTTATGTTATACATAGATAAGCTAGATGATATACGTCTCAACAAAATTGCCGCTCGCACTCGCAAAATACTTGGGAGCAGTGTTGCCAAGTCAAGTCATGACCGACCTAGTCACTGTGACGTAGGCGGGAGACCCGAAACTTGTTGTTATGCAAAACTTGCTTGACGTGGTGGAGCTCGGCAGCCAGGTGTTTACTGTCACAGATCCCTCGTGCTCTCTGAAACAAAGATTTACCTGTGTGTTATTTAACTGTGAAGGATGGTGGTGAGAATCCACCATCCTTCACAGTTAAATTTTAATCTATGGTAACCGCGGTTAACTATGACATTTGGACGTTGAACATCTCAGTCCCCCCGTGACCATGGGTGCTGTAAAGCGCTCGATACGTCGGGTAGTTAAAAAGTTAAATATACGAGATAAAATCCGTAACAACTAGTATTATTTAAAAATCTAAGTTTGTAAGAAAAAACAATGTTGACGATTGCAGGTACAATTTACCAAGTGTTATACCATTTTGAAATCCTTACTAAATGCGCCAACTTTTGACGCTATTTGCCAAACTCGCGCAGTACAATTTTTTTTTTCAATACAGTCACCTATAATTCTTTAATCTAGGCAATTTATAATTTTGATTTTTTTTTTAGAAAATAAGTCCTATTTCTATGCAAGCTAGAACAACTGGTTTTAAAATTTTGATACCAGTTTAGAGAAGCATTATTTATATTTTCATAACAAAAGAAAAATAGTTGGAATAAGTAAAGATTTGTGGCAACAGGAGTGAAAAGACTATCACAGGATGTGAAATATTTTTCTGTTTTTTTAAATGCCTCTAATTTTGAAAACATGCAACTTAGATATTTTAAATTTTTTGACAACCAAAAAAATTTAAAAAAACCTAAGTTGAAAACCATTTTGCGTTTTCACCCGGTTTCGGGTTGACGTCGAGTTTGAACTTTGTGCAGTTTAATCATATCTTATATAGGTGTGAAATTGATGCAATACACTTTTCTGACGCCTAAGAAAACTCGAGTACGTTACAGTAACTGAATCTTGTTGCGCAATCTGTAAAACATACAAAATCAACCAACAATCGAATAGTAGAAAACAGGGAACGGGGAGAGGAATACACGGTGTGGTGAGGGCAAACAATGCAAAATATATCTATTTTCATGGTCTCTATGTTACTATTATTAAAGTATGTTTTTGAATACCCTTAAGTCTAGTTTCCTTTCATATTTCTATGTGCCAAAAACATACTTTTCATTACACGCATTATTATTAGATATGTGACATATTT